CTGGCCCGCCCGCCCGGAGGGGGGGGGGGGGGGGGGGGGGGGGGAGAACAACGGAGGTTAGATGGAGGTGTGTTCACTGAAACTGAGACCTGTCACACACACGCGTGGGGCGGGACTTCCTACCTCTCTGTGGACTCTGATGAACTCTCGGGGGTCGCCCTTGGCCCAAGGCGGCAGGATCACGTCACCCAGCTTGGTGCCGTTCTGCTTGGCACCTGGTACGTCAAACAGCAGAAGGCAGACAGGACATTAATATTCATGCGCTCAGTTCGACTCGTGCTGCCATCAGCCGTCACTGTCCACGCCTCCTTCAATACTGACCCAGGTCGAAGTTGTTGGAGTTGAGCATGAACTCTGGCAGGTAGAAGAACTCGGGGATGAGCTCCTTGACGTCGGCCATGTTGTGCTTGGAGGCAGAGAGCCAGGCTTCACGCACACTGTGGAACATCCTGTCAGCCAGGTCAAAATGACCTCCCTAACAATCACACACACACACACACACACACACACAGTTTGAAATCTGGGCTTCTATGTACCCCAACAACTTTTACTCATTTGGTTCTATTTTCCTCTGGAGTCGGACTAAAGATCACCATCTATCATCATGTTCTTAGTAAATAAACAATTTAATTTCACTCTGTATTTGAGCTTAATTCTAGAACAAGGTCTGAAATTTCCCGAAATGTCTTGACCACTGGGAAAATGTAGATGCAGAACATTTCGCTGGACTAGGAGAGCTGAGATCAAACCTGAAGTCTGAGGAAAATCTGTGTGAACGGCTCCATCCGGACCAGGTACGAGGCTACAATCATGGCTGATGAGTAGTGGGTGCCGTAGTGGTACGCCGGGGTTTCACCTGGTGTGACGGGGGGGGGGGGCACAAGAGGGTCAAACATGAAAAACACAGCTTTGGTTTTGCACAGGAAGTTCTGAACCAGATCAGCTGAGAAAGACGGTGCGGATATGAAACAGATCAGAATAAATGTGTCATCAGGGAGTGAAACTTCCACAGACACAGAGTCACGAGGTCTCACTCGTATAAGAATCTCTGTGTTCAACAACAACATCCTGCTTGATTTTGGATCTAGGTTTTAGGATTGGAGCAGGTCAGTGTGATTTATTTCCATATCTTGTATTTTACTCGTGTCTTACCGTTGGGGTCTTCCCAGTCCTTGTACCTCTTCTTGTACTGCGTCAGTCTGTCGTCGGTCTGGGCGCCCATCGGCTTGGCGAGGTTGCGGAACGTCTTGGGGTTGCTCAGGTCCAGCTCCTGTTTACAGAGGAGTTTAACATGCACATGTTCAAAACACTGGCGGTTTGGCCCTGGTGCCGTCGTCATAGCGACAATATACCTTGACTAGTCGTGACATCCGATGCCAGAGAAAAAAAAAAAAGGTTCAATTACCTCCGAGTCGTAGTCGGCCAGGATCCAGGGGAAGACGGGGTACTGCATCAGGTCGTTGTAGGATCGTCCTGCCAGCGTGTTCAGATGCATCAGGTACTGGAAGTTACTGATCTCTCCTCGCTGGAAAACACACACACACACACACACACACACACACACACACACACACACACACACACACACACACACACACACACACACACACACACACACATATGTCACAGCTGCAGTTCGTGCCGCTGAAGTGAACAGTGGGCTTAGACCGACAAGTCCAGGTTCTTACCTCCCATCTTTGAGTCACTGACTTCTCACCGACCAGGGTGCTGAGCAGACCGGACCTGACAGACACCAGAACAGACAGGACGTTCAGTGAGAACAGCTGAGTGGTTCTCCTTTAATCTTTTAACCACAAACGTGGGATAGTGTGGTTTCATTTGCCTTTATTTTGATTCATTATGAGAGAAGACCAAACTTAAACTTGGATTAATCATCCAAGGATGGTCATCCGACTCCGTCTGTGCTACATGTAGCGTGAAGGACGTCTTACCCCTGTTCAACACTGGTGTTGGGCCTCTGGCCTGAAACAGACTCAGAGCTGTCGGCAAGTGAAGGCACCACAGCCAAGAACCTGCAGGGAATTAATTAAAATAATGACTGACTGAAGTTACCTTTGTAAAATTCCTCTTTTCTGCAAAACTCCCAGGATAAACTCTACAGTATATTACAATATGAAACTCTAAAGAAATGATTCTTTCTGTTACTGAAACACGAGAGAAGCAGCAGCCAAAAGCAGCTTACTGTGTTTTATATTTGTCTTCAGTACCTTTGGTAAACTTTGTTGCGGACTCCTTTCTGGAAGGCTAACAGGTAGTTCCTCCCGTCGGCTGAGAAGACCTCCACTGCCATCGGCTGAAAGAGACACAGCGCACATTTATACTCAGAAAACAAGGTGGTTTTGAGTCTGTCATGACGACTTTAATGATGCAAAAATGTGTGTGTGTGTGTGTGTGTGCCGACCTGCAGCAGGTAGCGTCTCTTGTGCACCTCCTTGATGTCTTCGTAGGCGAAGATGCTGCAGGTTCTCTTCAGCTGGCTCTGGCCTTGTCTCGCTCCTCGGGGGATGATGGCCTCGTGTAAACTGGACACACAGAACAGACCGTGATGCATTCAAGAGCAGGTCAGTTTGAGTTTAAACCATCACGTGACCGGAAGAAATGTGTTGCTTTCTGCTTCTAAAATCATCATAATGTTCCTAATAAATGAAAAATGACCAATGTGAAGTGTGATGGTCGAGACTAATGCTACGCCTGTCTATCTACTTTTTCATTATTAATCTGCCAATTATTACCTTCATTTATCCAGTTTAATTGTTTAATATAAAATGTCAAAAACATCTAAAATTGCTGCCTTTAAATGTTTAAATACTCGACAAACTGCAACCACAGTTAAGTAGTCGATAAATTGTTAATAAAAACTGTCATTGTCACGTCGTCATCTCAGCCCTGTCAAGACAAAATGCTTTCACTGTACGAGACTGTATGGAAGCTGTAGAGAGTGAAACACCCGGGGGTGGGGGGGTGCACAGGATAAAATCTAGGTGCCATCTGTCGGTAATAGGTTTTTCCTTTTTCTGGCTGTTCTCCAACGGTGCCTCAAAGGAACAAAGCAAGTTCCCTAAAAGGAAGGAATATGTAAAAGCTTTGCTGAGTTTCACAACGCATGCTCCATCGGCAGCATTACATCATCCTGGCAGCAGAAACTCCCACTGCAGTGTCCAGAGGAATGATGTCATCCCTCAACTCGGGGAGGGAAAGGACAGCGACTGTGTGATCTGTGAGCTGCAGCCTCACCCGGGGTTAACGGCGCTCGTTACAGGCGTCCACACCTCGATTACACGCTGACAGATTCAGGGGTACTTGCACGTACTTGGGCGGCAGCGTGTCGATGTCCCTGATCTCCCTGGACACGGTCATGGTGTAGCCGTCGATGACGTAGAAGTGCTCTTTCCCGAACAGCAGCAGACCCTCGCTGGTGTCCAGACCTTGAACTCTGGCACAGCGGTACATGTGCTGAATCTGGAACAGCGGGTGTGAGACACAGGCAAGGAGATAATAATTAGCTTGAAGTTCAGAGATGAAAAAAGGGGAAGCTTCACTTTCTGTCTGACTCAGTGACTGATGGTTGAACAGCTCTGTGGCAACCAGAGGAAACACAGCAGCACCTGACTGAGACGGCGATGCAGGGAAACTATACACTTTACTGAGGAAGTTCGCTTCGGTCGTGATTAAAAGATTTTAAAATCATCTCAGTTGAGTTTAGTCAAAGTCAGAGCAGCAGTTCACGACACAACATGTGACTCACAGCATCACTATGAGAGAGGCGCAGTGTTTACGAGACACTGAAAGGTGAAATTTGCTTCAAGATAAAGAATAATATTGCAATTAGTCATTTTACTTATATTTTCTTTATAATGTTCAGTCCTGCAGCTGGAGAGTTTTTAAAAAGCTGAATATTATAAAAACTTTCACTTTACTTTCCAGTTTACAGCATCATGTGGATCAAATCTCTCAAATGTAAAAAGATGCCAGAACCAGACGACTCTTGACCCCCAGCGAGTAAATACTGACAGTGAAGGTACCACATTGTAAATCGCTTCTCTAGTGTTATCGACCACACACAACAACAACAAGGTTATATGACACTGAGCTTCCAGTGCTTTTGGTAACATACAGTTGATGGACATTAAACCTTGCAGAGAAAATCTTGATGTCACTGAGAGTGTGTCCATGTTGCTGTTGCAATCTTAATGATAATTCAGAATTAATACTTGTAACATGCAACAGAAATAAACTGTTTCTGACTCAAGTTATTACCACAATGAATCCACCTAAAATCTAAAACAATACAAAGCCGTAGTGAAGTGTGCAGAAATGTAAATAAGGTCATAACATTGAGCTTCTGCACAGTTCACAGCACTGGATTCTTTCAGTCATTGGCTCATTTGTTCCCGTGTCTCTCTCTGACCTTCTCTCCCTCCTCCAGCAGGCGCAGCAGCGACGTGTTGTCGGTCCTCTGCTCCTCCTCGGGGCCTCCCGACTCCAACAGCTGCTCCTGAAGCTGCTCCTGACTGTCCTCGTCTGCACCGTCCGCCGTGGACCGAGACCTCTTCAGAGGAGCCTTCACCAGACCTGGAGGGGGGGGGGGGGCATTTTGAGTTTCACTTAAACTCTGCTTGACCCAGAACTGCAGGTAAACACGAGTCTGTGCCTCTTATTCCCTGCAGCATCTGCTCAAATTCAGCTCATTTTAAACAACTATTTAAACAACTTCTCTTCTTTAACCCATGTGACCAACAGTGTGACCCATTTTGAGCGTCCGCACCTTTGACTCTTGCGATGGTGTCCTCTCCGTGCTCGGGCTCGTGCTGCGTGGTCTCTCCCTCCGTGCTGTGCTCCACAGAGTGCTGGTACATGCCGGGGTTGCCGGACAGCAAACGCACGTAGTACTCCTTACTGTCGTAGCTGATGGCGCGCCGGTACCGCAAAGGCTTCTGGGGAGGGAGGAAGAAGATGATGAGAAGCAGGTAGGATCACGTGGCACACCGCATGTTGTGGGACGACTCACTCCGGGGTTGGTTGAGTAACGTTAGCACAGATTGTCTTATATTTTTAATTAAAGACGTTTTATTATCGTTATCCCTTTCAGATTTTTTCCTCAGATTGTTTTAGTAACATTTTCACATTGACAATAAAATTTGAAAAGAAAACTTGAAGGGAAGAGCAAGGAGCGCCTGACAGGACTGCACACCTTGGCAATACCTTAGTTCACCTGCAGCTCTAGAAGTGCAGGTACAAGTGCTAATGTTAGCTAATACAAGTCAGTTTGCTCAGTTTCCTCGAATTTTCGTTAAAAGCATCGAATGTCACACGAGGAGGCGGGCAGCTCCCTGACTGCTGAGTAGAAGCAAGAGGACAAAGCAAATACAGAAGTCCAAGTTGAAACTGCGCGGCTGCTGATAAGACTTTCAATCAAGTGGGTGAAATTTTTTGCTGCAGTGTGACATCGCACACGGAGCTGAGCAGCAGCAGCAGCAGCAGCAGCAGTTTCCTTAACCATGTTATCATGCAGTCACACCAGGCAGCACCGAACGCTTCACCCATGTACCTGAGCGCGGACAAGGACCCCAGCCAGAGCTGAGGGTATCAGGGGGACCAGAGGGGGGGAGGAGGAAGAGGAGGTGGAGGAGGGCTGGAGGAGGTAAAGAGAGGTGAGAGATGAGACTGTAAAAGCCACTAACGATGCCTGCTGTTGAAGAGCTCGACAACCTGGAAGTTTCTTTATCTCAACGTAAAAATCAAGGTGTTTTTAATCGTGTGTAAAACGTAACGTACGGAGGCTGTTCCTCTGACGTTTTGGTTCCATTTAAAGCTGAGTTTCAACATCACATTTCATGATATCATGTTCTGGAAAGGTAACTGTACTCAGCAGGTCTCTTTTCAGATGAGCCTCATGTACAGACAGAAATATCGGTATTAACCTCCATTGTCTTAGTGTAAAATGGCTGAGCTGAAACACTCAGAGGATGATGATAATGATATTGAACTGGAAGGCACAAGTGTATTTGGCTTTTGTGAAACATCCTGCGACGACTCACTGAGCGTGTCTGAATTATATATCATGACCAGGCCTGTGGGACTTAATTAAAAATGGCGGTTTGAAAGAGGCCACGAGCCGGAAAACTCCCCACAAGGGCTCTAACAAGACGACCTATCTTTGGAGACAGAGTTTATGGTGTGATCGGTCCAGGCTGACAGAAACACAGCCACCTTAACCTTTATTTAATCACTGTTTATATTGATGACGATCAGGAGATTCTTTTAATAACCCCTGAGCGAGAACCTCGGCTAAACACCTAAAATGTGAAACTCAAAAATCGCTGACACTGACACGAATCTAACTGCGCTCTCTCTCCGTATCGTCCCGACCAGATAAATCACGGCGGAGCGAGGAGAGGCGCCCGTGGGCGAACACAGAGGAGGGATTATTTGTAGAGCAAACAAAGCTAAATGTGTCTTGGCGGTGCCAGGAAAAGTGAGCCGCCGGCTGCTGGTGTCGCTTCCTCACATGACGGCGATCTATTTCAGGAGAGCTATTCCTGCACCGCTCCGCGGGGGGGGGGGGGGGGGGGGGGGCAACTGACCACTGCTGCGTACACAATGGAGAAAATGACTTCTAACATATGAATCTGTTGTTTTAAATATTTATAGTACATTTCGTTTTGAGATGAGGGATGAAATATTTGCATTTCAGCTGGTAAAACAACAAAATTATCTGTAGAACATTTTACTGTGAATAAAGTTTTGAATCTGTTTCGGCAGATGAATTAAACTCAGATACGTCTGTGACCACGACTGTAACAAAAGGAACAAGATAAACTGATAAACAAAAGACCCACGATGCCTCACATCTGTCGTCACCGTGATACCCCCCCCCCCCTTCCCGCCAAGCGTTTCCTCATGGTGGGAACTGTTCTGTTTCCGTTTCGATATTATAAAGAGTTCAGTCCGACCCCGCTCTACTGGAAAAGTGCCTTGAGAAAACTTCTGTATTGATTCGGTGCTATGTGAATCATCATCGTCAATAACTGTACATCTTGATCTTCAGCATTATCAATTTGTCTTCATCAGTGGTTCCCAATACAGAGGTCAAAACATGCCTCAGAGCACTTTTTATTTTCATAATAAAAACAATCAAACATTCAGGACTTTTTTCTTTTTGGTTTGACAAGTTTTTCAACATTTTCAAAAGTTTCTTAAGATCATTTAGTTTTAAAAAATCTAAAAACATTATTTATAATTTTAATCTTTAGTATATAATTACATTTGTACCGTTTTGAAAATGATTTGTTTAACCCACAGGTTGGGAATCGCTCGTCGACATACGTCATTTATGAATTTTAATGTGCCGAAAAATAATTTCAGCCTCTTTTTGCTGCTGTTTCTAACATAATACATGATCATTGTTGAGTCACATGACTGTCTGATGTTACACTGTGAGTCACTGTGAGTGAGGGCATGGGTTCAAGTATATAAAATGTGGATATGGCAGGAGTCTCTTTGTGTTGGTGTTAAGATATTTAGAAGGTGGAGAAACAGAGATCGAAAACCATATTGCATGCAATGTAGTTCTCACCACGCGTTGTAATCTTCGTTCCCGAGAGGAAAATGTACCTTGAGTCCATTAATGTTACCCAACACTGCTGCAGAGGATCATGGGAAGATGAGAATCCATCTTTAAAGCGGAGTACCTGTGCTGAGTTGGTGTTCATCTCCGTCTCCGGGATGTACGGGTAGTGGATGTAGAACATGTCGTTGCGGACCATCTTCTTCCTCATCCGGCAGGGACCCTCCGTCATCTCCAGCACGAATTTGTCCAGGTGGGAGCCGATGGGGGGGCCCCAGAGGCCTCGCTCGCGCAGCAGCTCGTACTCGATGGACGCCCACTCCTCCGTCACGTACTTGAGGGCGTTCTGCTGCCGCTGGGGGAAAGAGGAGGGGACGGACGGACGAGGTCAGTCGCTTTAAAAAAAAAACCGCTGCTATAAATAATAGATCATTGTTATTATTCGAGTTACTGTCCTGCAGCATCATCCTGACTGCGCTGTTACACAACACGCCCGCAGCTGCTTTCTCAGCAGGACCGAGCTGACACATCATCTCAGACAAAGCAGCTTGATTTCTTTATTCAATTTGCTTAATTCCCTCCCATCGAGCAACGATGCATGTGTTGTACCTCTTGATATTCTTTGTACTGCATCGCCACCAAGTCTCGAACTACGGCGATGTGTGTGAACATCCACTGGAAGGTCTCCTGTTGATCAGAGACACAAGGCTGTGATGAATCAGTTCAAGTTTAAGGATGTTGTGCGTCAGTGGCTGTGGGTTGTTTCGTGTGTGTTACCTGTGCCGACAGACTGTTCTTGTTCAGGCTGTTCTCCTTCTTGTTGCGGCGGACGCCCAGCTTGGAGAGGCCGAAGCCGCTGCTGACTCTGGACAGTTTGGACTGTGTCGCTGGTGCCACGGCTTCACCGCGACTGATACACTTCTTCTCATGGACTGAACGGCAGAGGAGAGGAGCACAAAAAGAACAATTACATTTAGGGATGTTTATTTACAACCAAACCAACCTGAGATTTCTGCCTCCACCTCAGTGCAAGGTCAAAGTCATTTGCATTAATTTCTAATTAAAGCTTCATATTTTCTTCTTCTTCTGCGTTTTATTTGAAGTGTTGATCCATAAGAAGATATATTTGTGGTTTTAAGAACTAAAAAACCTTCTCAGTGTAGTTTTACATCTCCTCTCTCAGGCTTCTCTCTGGAGCTCTAGTAACAACAGGTCGGTGAGCCAATCAGAAGAGAGGAGGCTCTGAGCCTCTTTTCTGATTGGCTGACTGTTTCCTGAGCGGTCCAATAAAAATAAAGCAGATTTCAGGTAAAAACACTCAGAGAAACCAAATCCTGTAAAGGTTTAGATGGTGGGTCCAGGTGGGCGGGGCTTGGTGACTGCTTTGTTGTGACATCACAAAGTTCCAGAAGTCCTGACGGCTGGTTTTAAGGCTCAGTTTCTGAATACAGGCTGTGTGCATTTCTCTGTGGACTGAGGCTTTGATACTTTCACAGTATTAATATAGAAGCTAGACCTGATCTATAATCACACTACACATGGACAGAGACCTTTACACTGGATGGGACCTTTAAAAAATAGTCCCCAGAAAACAGGAAATTCGTCTTTTCTAACTAAATTGTGCAAATCTAGAGAACATTTCTCAGAATATCTGGTTACAATACTTGAGCTAAATACAACACTGATGAACTGAGCAAGTGAAAGAGAACAGATTATTAATAACATGCTGTACAGGCGGGGCTCCAGATGAAAGTATTTCCTCTGAAAAACAACAAGAGGCTCTCCCAAAAAGTTGACCTAGTTATGTATAAATAAAGGAATAAAGGACACCACAACTGCAGGATGGGCACAGCTGAGGAAATGTGAAGTGTGATTCTATGTTTGTGTGTGTGTGTGTGTGTGTGTGTGTGTGTGTGTGTTTTCTCTTCCCCTCACCCAGGTGGTTCTGCCAGCTCTTCAGGGCCGGCTCCTCCAGGGCCGGCCGGGCTGTGGCGATGTCCACGTGGCCCCTGTCGTTACAGGGCAGAGACACTTTGAAGATGTCCTCCAGCATCTGACGCTTGCTGTGCATCAGCTCCGTCCACACGCGGTTCACCGCCTTCAGCAGCAGCTGCCGCCCTGCAAGCGCCGACGACGACAACCAGGTTTAATGACACGAAGCGCTGTGCCGCTATCTGACAGTGACGTGAGTTACAGTCTGATGTGACATCTCTAAAGCTCCTTCATGATGTTCATTATGCTCAGTATGTTTGTATTACACCTCAAGTCTGCATGAAAACACCCACAATCCCTTGTTCCGACACTGAATAACAGAGTTGAGAGTGTTTGTGAACCAAAACATGTTAAAATATATCACCTCTAATAAACGTTAAACCCCCGCAGCTGTCTGTGGATTATATGCAGCTAGAGTCAGAACGATGAATAGACTGAACTTGGATCTTTTTTTTCTGTCACAGTTTCACAAAATATCCCTTCATGTCAAATTCATTCAAACACGGCCCATCCGACCTGAGCGAGCTTTAAAAACAACACATTCATTTATTATCTCAGATGTTTCTGTTTTCAATAAATAGTCTCACCCTCGCTGACGTCGTGGCTGTGCGTGGCGTCGGCCTCGTTTTCCGAGGGGATCATGACGTGCCAGGTCGTCATCCTGGCCTCCGCCTCCAAGCCAAAGCCCTCCACGCTGCTGCAGAAACAAACACACAGCGGCTCAGTACCAACACTGCCATGCAGAGACCTGTGGGGGTGGTGGGGTGGGTTGTTTGGCTTCACTGGAGCAGATGAGTCTGCGCTCGGCTGTTGCGCAGTGTGTTGTATTAACGCATATTGTGTTCCCAGCATGGAGGGAAACTCAGTCTCCCTTCCACCTGCTGCAGTTTGGGAAATTGTCCGTATTTGTGCCAGGGACACGCACGAGCACAAGAACAGTCCAATGAAAAACAAAAAGGGGTGTAAACTCTGTGGTCACTTGTGCACAAACACACGGGCGGAGCTGCTGAGAAACAACCTCACAGAGTTAAAGCTCCTGTAGGGAAACAACAGAGGCACAAAAATAAACAAAAACTAAATATAAAAGGCTTCGATTCGTCCTGTTCTCTTCATTTTTTCACAATCATGTTTTTCATTTAGCGATTTATGTTGCACCAAGCGCTTCAAAGCAAATACAGCTCCTCTGCTTCAACTCTATATGTTAACGCCTTAAAGTCTTCATTCGTCCTGTTTGTACACATTTGTGTCAGATTTGGAAAATAGTGAAGTTTACATCTACATTTCTCCTTATGTTTCTATGTTGAAAGTTTCCCAGCATGACTTCAAAAACATCTGCAAAGAACTTAGTCATCTGGGTTTAAACGCTTGAGGCTGGTATTGTAATTACCCTTAATCAGGCACTTGATTAATTGATCTGGCTAATAGATACTGTCTGTGTGCAGCCGCCACAGCCTGATGTTGATCATTATGTTGATCACAGTTAGTTTATTCCTCTCAGCTCGTCAACATGGAGGCACGTCCCTCATGGCCTCATTGATATACAGAGAGTTTACAGATGCATCATCCACTTTAAGTCTCTTAAAATACATTTTAAATAAAATGGCAGCAGCCTTGTTTTAAAGCCTCCATCCAACACAAACTCCTAACCCGCCCACGACGGCAGAACCTCCCCCTCTTACCTGCCGCTGTGCAGGCAGATGAAGCAGTGAGCCAGGCAGGCCACAAAGTCCTGGTCGTGGTTGCCCGGCCCGAGCACCAGGTTGCGGTTGACGGTCAGGACACGCAGGGCGTCCAGCAGGGCCACCTGCTGAGCCACCGTCTTGTGGGGTCGACAGAGCTGGTAGAGCACCGTCCGGTTCAGACAGTGGTAGATGGCGTCGAGGGAAAGACCCTGGGAGCGCCTCTTCGACTGCAGGAGGAGAGGGGGAAGTGGGGGGGAGGAAAACAAACAGGCGCGGGAGGTTAGAGGGGGAAAGTTGTTTCTATATCAGCGAGCGCTAGAACGAGAGAAAGGAGGGAAATACAGCGGAGGGAAAGTTAGTCACTGTTACATCGCTGCGGATAAAGCTGCTGCGGAAATACTTGAGCAGAAAGAAGATTTGTTTGAGCAACCGGGGCTGAACTGGGATAAGTTGTTTGAACGGTTGTGAATGTACCTTTGTTGCTGTCACACCGTCTGAGCAGAGGACTGCTTAAGGACTTTAAAGTGGAAACACACACGGCTATGAATTACTTATGTGAGTATAGAGCTAATATCCTACTACTTCTACTTTACATTCTGCTTGCTGCTGCACTATTTCCTGACACCCAAGACGATTTTGTGTGTGTGTGTTTTAAGTTGTTCACATCTGCAGTGGGAGTGTCTTACAGCCACACGCTGTCTGGATACCGGGTGCTGATATTTCAAATCAAAAAGGAAATGAAATGTAAATATATTCTGATTCCACCTGTGTCTGCCTCGGCATCGAGCGGATGGCACACTGGGAGATTTCCAAGACACGGCGGCGCAGTTTTGGTTTGTATAGTAAAGTATAATCTCCTAATCTCTCTTGCACTGAAGTGTGTGTAGAAGGCGCGGAAGACAGAAGTCCACACATGACGTTACTCGAGCTAGAATTACCGCCTCGCTGCCGCACGCCTCCGCCGACCTCTCCACTTGCAGTTAATTGGCGCGTGACTCCTTGAGTGACCTTTGAGTGTAAGGTCAATGGCGCTTTTGGCTTTTTTTATCCAGTTGTTAAATAGAGAAAATTCATTTGAGGGGATTTATGAATAGAATATAGTCTTTTGTTATGATGAGATATCATTAAGCTTGTTCTTCGTGATGACTCCTAATTGGACAGATGTGAAAGAGAAGAAATCTATATTCATGGATTTGGGCTTCAGTCGATCAGACGAGGGATTTCCATCAGTTCTGGGTCGAGTCACAAACATGAAACAGCTGCTCTGTTGTTTCTACATTTACGTTGCCGTGGAGAAACTACAGTGGTGTGGTCGCTTTAAATGGCAAAGGAATTGTGGGACGGCATTTCTCCTTTCCTTTGGGTAAAGGAAGGTCCAGTGTTTCCTCTGCTGAAGGAGATAAGATAGGAAGCTCTGAGGCTCCTTTCCTCCTCATGTAGAGAATCGGACCAGCTCTTATTGTGGCTGCCGCTTAGATAATTTCTCTCAGATAAACTGAATCTCACACAGACACAGCAGATAAATACAGACAGTAAAACAGCGCGTCACTAACAACAAACACACACCTGTCATTCGGGCTCTGAACGGAGCGACGGCCATGTTTTGTGCTTTCACTGGCTCCAACGAGCGAGTGGATGAGCGGTGAGATGGACGCTGCGGATCTAATTTAATCCTGAGTGAGTTCATTGTTTGCATTAACTGGCAGAGGACTCGCAGAAGGACTGTTTTATTTCTACATCCAGAGAAGGCAGACGCCGCCGCCGCCGCCGCCGCCGCCGCCGCCTGTCCGCCTCAGGCCGCTCTGGAGCAATCTGTCCAGTCTCTTACCAGAAGCACCGGCCGAATCCTGATCCGCATTTTTCTGCATTTGATGAGTGTGTCGACTATAATTTGACTCTGGCACGAAGCAGAAGATCATTTAAAAGTCTAATATCGTTCATCTTTATTATAAACGCAGTCGGGCTTCTTAAGGTCGTATGCCTCCGGCTTCTCTGCTCTACGCCGGGGACACACTGCCTGCGTGTGCGTGGCGGCTGACGTCACTGAAATGTCACCGTCTCCACATGCAGCTGCTACAGTGGATAAAAATAAATATATATCTATGTTTTTTTAAGTCTGCATCCCTTCAGCTGAAACTTTTCCAAGTGGGAATCTAGAGTTTTCTCCATCACACGGTTTTTCTGTTCTTCAATCGAAACACTTCACTCTTGTTTTAACTTCATGCAACCGTCTCGCCGACACCGACTTTATATGCTTTTCTCCTGAGCAGCACAATGATTCGCTCTGGACCGTGAAGAACAGGCCGAGGCTGGTTTCTGTTTTGTACCTGTCCTATGAGCTGCACGATGAAGTCCACCACCAGCTTGGAGTCCTTGTTGAACATGCCCTGCCACAGCTTGTCCACCACCCGCTGAGTGAAGTAGAAGACGTTGTTGACCAGAATCTGATAACTGCCGCTGCTGCTGAGCGGCAGAGAGGCGTCTTCGCCTGCACGGAGACGGAGAAACAGTTACACACCTGCACATGAAGGGGCCGCGGACAGTGATCACTCTATTCTATTCAAATGTCCAGTTTTTACAACGCAATTAAAGCAGCCACATAAATAAACAAAACCGAGGGAAGAGCTGAGAGGGATGAAGACAACATCAGTGTTTTGAGAAATTAAAAAAGCTCATTCATCAGCAGAAATGAGTTTTGAGGAAGGAATATGTGATTGATTTGATTATTTTTTTGTTTCTAGTTGGCTGTGAGTTCAAAAGACAAAAACATATTTAATTTCTTTATCTAGAAAAACAGACTACAGGAAACAGGAATCCTGTAAGAAGCTGAAGGTGTTTGCAGTTCTCTCTGCACCACTCTGTGATCTGCTGACTCATGATGCAAACATTAAAGCTCCTCACCGAGCCAAATAAGAAATCGGTTCAAGCTGTTGTGCAGGATATTCACCCGAGACATTTTCTGTCTCGTCATCAAACTCCAGGTGAATCCAGGTGAATGTGAAGGTGACTCTGTCCTCTGTGTTTGCTCGTCTGACAGGTGACATTAAGGTGAGATGGAAAATCTGTGATCGTGGAAAATGATCGGGAGGTTTTTGTGTTTGTGATTCAAGATGGATGTGAAATGATGACGTTGGCAGGTGAGGCTGGATCGTGTTGTACGGGAGGGGGGGGCTTTGCGCTGACCTAGCAGGACATCAGCAGCCAGCAGATGCTCCATGACACCGTCCAGGATGTTGGACTGAAACTCCTTCTGCTGAGTTCTGGTGGAGCGCTCCGGGGAAGCCTGGTGAGAGCGAAGAGACAAAACCAGACACAATCAGGACTGTTATTTATTAAATCTGAGCCAATTCTGAGGATCTGCTATCGTTCAAAATCAAGTGAAGATAAGAAAAGTTTTGTTAACAGGAGCCAAAGTCTGCACGAGATGATCGACTCAAATCTTAAATTCTCTAATCAAAGCTCAAACATCCGCCTGTGACATCGATGAGTTTGGATTCATCTCCTCACCTCCAGCAGGAGGTCGATGATGGGCGTCTGCTTGCTGGCCGGGGTCATGCACAGATTGTCCATGATCAGGACCCTCATGAAGTCGAAGACGTACTTCTTGGCCGGGTGGTTGGTCAGGGAGGTTTTGGAGCCCACGTTGCAGTATTCAGACTGGCTGCGGTTCATACCGGAGTCGCCGGCGAAGGCCTTGAACTCCTCGGTGGGAGAACCCGCTTCGTCGTCCAGATCAGTCACCTGGAGCGGGTGGAGCGGGTCAATTCACCAACAACTTAAATGTTCTTTCTCATAATTACAACATTTCAGCGAGGTACAGAATAAAAACAATAGAAAACATTTAAACTGAACACTTGTTCTCCACTGCAGCTGCACCTCCTCCGTCAGTAAGTTCAGAGAGAAACTGCAGCATCTTTGTTCTTTGGAACTGCAGCAGAGAAGATTACATCGCTCCTGATTCCAAAATAAATAACTTTTAGGTTTTTACTGCCCCCGTCACAATACATCCTGCAGCGGGGTGAAAGGGATACTGATCAGTAGGTGCAATTACTTTCCCCAGTGATGAGATTTTATGCTTTTAATCCCAGTATCAGGCGCGTTCCCCTCAGTCTTGGAACAGAAACTCCTCGCTCCGTAAAAGAAAAGTCAAGGCACGAGAGATTTATGTGGAAGAAGACTAATAAAGCTGCTGCGATGCCTTTTTCTGCTCACCAGGAAAGGAGATAGATTTCTTATTAAACTGCGAACATTCAAGAGTAATTACAGTAAAAATGTGGAGGACTCACCATCTCAGAGTACGGCCTGATGTTGAAGGGGAAGACAGAGGCCGCCAGGGCGCAGAGGAACTCGGGACTGTGCCACATGGGTGCCAGGTCGGGCACGTTGTGGTACAGATACCTAAAGAACTGCATGAGGGTGACGGGGTACTCCCTGAGCCAGGACCCTTCCTCCTCTGACTGCCACGGCTGGAGAGGGACACGCACAAGACAAAACAAAATCAGGGGGTGGCCTGCAGGAAACCCACTGCGGATGTGAGCGTGTGGATGAGGGTGAAGACGGACGGCGCGTGTGTCGACTCATTTTTGATGGATTAATGGAGCTTAAAACGCCACCGTTAATAGAATCCGGGATGATCCGGTTCCTTTTTCTAGAACCACTTAAAAGAGGATGAACATGAGAAACCTCGCGCACGCACACACACACACACACACACACACACACACACAGGAAGCTCATAACTTTAAAAACACCTGTCTGTGTGTGTGTGTGTGTGTGTGTGTACGCTCATAAATCATCTCCTTTTGTGTTGAATCTAATTAGTGACAAACTATGGATTTTGAATATTTGTCCTGTTCATATGGAAAAAAAGAAGAAAGCCGTATGATCTCGCTTCAGAAAAAATAAGCTATTTTATTTAAAACGTATTTAGAGCATCTGATATTTTAGAGGAAGATCCTGTTTTTTCTCCATTTTATCAACTATTTGAATGTTTTTCCTGATATTCAATACAATCACAACATGTTCCTCTTGAAGGTTTAAGATAAATGTAAAAATAAATAAGCTAATGTGTGCTGCGGAGTGGCGGCTCCCACCAGGTTGAGCATGCTGCGGAGCATGGCCAGCAGCAGGAAGGCAGCCTCGGTGCACACGCTGTGGATGGAGCCCACCACTGTCCCGCTGGAGGCCGGGATGCCAAAGATGAAGGTCCAGATGGAGTCCAGGTCAAACTGAGAGGACAAAACACACAAACTGGGGTAATACACAGTCACATAAACACATTATTTGATGCCGTCATCTGTTAGTGCACATGTACTTTGTAAATCAAATACTGCAGATTTGTCAGCGATGCGTATTTGGAGTTTTATCTACAGGAAGGAATCAGCGGTCAAGTTGTCTCGTAACTTTACTGAGAGTCGCACTTTGGAGCAGCTACTGATTCTCAAGTAGCGGCCATGACATGTTAAGTGTTTAGTGAAGGAAGAAGGAAGAAGGTCGGGTATACTAACATGTACCTGCAGGCTGTCTGGCAGCTCGGTGACCGGCTGCTGCAGGAAGAGAGCCATGAGCAGGAAGTAGAGCTCGGGCACGTTGGTGTGTTTGGGCAGCAGCGTCTGCAGCACAGGGAATCCTGGGAAGTGGCACGCGTCCCGGTTGATCTCTCGCACCGTGGAGCGTCCGCCGGCGCTGCGGCCCACGTTGAAGCCTAAACGCCGGGGGTGGGGGGGGGGTGAAAGAGAATTTTAGGGACGAGGTAGGGAGACGATTTTACTGCATACGTCCTCTGACTAAAGGCGTCTACTGGAAACTGTGAGTACAGCTGCTGTACCTGCTTTATCAAGGACGTGGTCACAGTATTTACCCAGGACTGTAACTCAGTTCATCAGACAGGATTTATGTGGGAAACTGAGCACTAACAAAATAATAATAATAATAATAATAATAATAATAAAAAAAGGATTAGGATTTGTTTTAGCTAGAAGAACAAACTCCAAATAAAACTGAGGGCTTCAACCTTACAGCAGATAAGACAACGCTACAGCCACGAATGCTCCGCTCAGCCATGTCACTACTAAGGGTTTCCATAAGCAAAGTCAGTGGTGCTCAGCCTGGACCTGGTACTTCATATTTTTTTATTTTTCTTATCAAAATGCTTCAACAGTGAATAATTGGAGAATAAAAAAGGGCCTTTAAAGAGAAAATAAATCATCATTTGGAGGCAAAAGTTCACCTGCGAAACTTTTCATTTTTTCTTTTTAGAGTAAAAGAAAAATCCACTGAGGCTGAAAACCACTGAGCTCAGGAGGGACTATGTTTGCAGCAGCAGCAGCAGCAGCAGCAGCAGCAGCAGGGAGGCAAAGAAAAAGACAAGACGAACCCCGGGCCGTGCGGCGCACAAACTGCGCAGCTTTCTGTTTAGTGAATGACGGCCAACTCCGACGGAAAGCGTTGCCAGAGTGGGGAGAGGCGTCTGCTGAGCCATGTTACAACACACAGTGTTTACACTGGACATTATCACTGCACGCTTCTGACACTGTGACTCATGTGGGAGGAAAATTCGAGTATTTTAAATATTTTGCGAGAAAAACTGTCCGAAATCCGCTCACCCAGCACCGTGCCGATCTTGTTGGTCAGGACGGAGTCGGTGTGGTCCAGCCAGCCGCCGCCGCACAGCCCCTCTTTGAAGCGGTTGAGGATGGACTGGTTGGAGAGCAGCACCACCAGGATCCAAAGAGCCGCCGTCACCGTGCTCGAGTGAAGATGTTCCTCCATGAACATCAGGAGCCAATCGAAGCCCAGCGTCCGCACCAGCTCCTCACACGCTCTGCGGGGGGGTAATGTAATAAATGAGTCTCCTCTACAGGTCAGACTTTGCATTCGACTCAAAAAAACATGTTGTATTTTTCTGAATATTAATATTTCACTGAGATGAATCCACGAGGAATCTTACTGGGCATTGACGGTGCATTTCTCTTTGGTGGTGAAGAGCAGTCGGAGCAGGTTGTCCAGCAGTCGGTTTCTCAGCAGAATGAGGTTGGCCGACAGCAGGCCGCCGAAATCGTCATCGTTGCCTGGAGACGCGAGAAGGAAACAGTCATTTCAGTTAGAAAATCAGCCACTTCGTCACCGACTGGAATCGATGTTTGTTCTACATTTTAACAGCCAGATATCAGGTTGGAGCTAACATCACAGACGCAGACAAAGACGCCATCACGTCTAATCTATCATCACCTCCGTCGATCTTCTCCTCGTTATTGATTTCCATGACGACAAACTTCTCACACACGGCAAATGTGGGAAGGGTGGAGGAGATGAACTGGCCAAACCTGTGGGAGAAGAGGTTTGTTTAATATTCGTGTGTGTGTGTGTGTGTGTGTGTGTGTGAGTGTGAGTGTGAGTGTGTGTGGGCGTGTGCTTACCGCAGCAGGTCGTACTGGTTGGGGAAGCCCTGCAGCAGCAGACTGAGCACGTTGCTGATGGCGGCCACGGTGGGCTGCGACAGCGAGGTGTCTCTCAGGGTCAGCAGCAGCCTCGGGATCAGCTGGAACTCCCTCAACAGTTTGGCGTTTTTCGCCGCCTCACTGTTCAGCACAGGGAGCGGTACACACAGTTAAGATTAGAGCTCGGCCGTCTTCGCCAGATTGACGTTAAAAAAAACAACGGCGCCAAATAACATCGTTCTCCGTTTGATCTTTGGCACTTGCCTGGATTCTGTCAGCAGCTCGATGAAATGCTCAAACAGAGAGAGGTGGAGCTCGTAGGGCGCGTGGAGCCAGACCTGAGGAGCAGAAGGAGGAGCTTGAAGAGGAGCGAGAGGCTTTCGGCCGGTCAGAATATAAGAATGCAGGACTACAACAATGCTGTTCTGATTACTTTGGTGCAGAGTATTTTCTTTTCGCCCTCAAACCGCTCACCTCGAAGTCACACAGCAGGTCCTGGAAGGCCGTGGAGTTGGGAATGATGGAGGTCTCGTGGCCGCTGTCCACCGTTCCCACCAGGGAGAAGGTGAGGTGGAGGATGTGGCTGTTGAGCAGCGAGCGCTTCTTCTTCAGCAGCATGGCCAGCAGCTGCAGGGGGGAGAGACGACGCACGGCGGAGATATATTCGCATTTCTTTATGTCATGTCACCTCTCGTGTTTTTGTCATTGTACAAATTAAAACTTATTTGCGTTCGGTTTGTGACTGTGCAGACCAGGACATCCACAGTACTGAGCATTAAGATCACAGCTGTGGCGGCATTACAGTATTTTCAAGAGCTTAAATGAAGAGAAGAGACGAGAAGTAGAAAAAGAAGGAACAAAAAGCTTAATTACAGCAGCAAAGGGAAGCAAGTATCTGCAAATACAGTTCAAAACTGGCAAAGGGGTGAATTTCATACGTCTAAAACAGGTCTACGAAATAATTTAACGTTCAATTCGAAGTGACAAATGGAGCACAGAGTTCAGTCTTAAGTAGCTGAAGTAGTTTAAAGTAGCAGCTAGCGGACAGGTGAGCATCAGCTTCCTTTTTTCAAATGAGAATTTGGGCGTCTACAGGACAGAGAATCACTCTGACGAAGCTCTGAATCGCTAAACTAAAGTGGACGGGATCCATCAAAGAGTCTGAAAGGTGTCAAAAGAAATAATATGAAAACCCCAAACCCACTAAACCACATCAATATTTACTAGCTGACGAGTTGTGTGTGTTTACCTGCTCTTTTCAGCCACAGGTGTGTCAGAACGCGTCATGTGACGGACGTTAAACTCACCTGGTAGCCTTTGATGCGCTCCATCTCTTTACTGGCCAACGGGTTGCTTTTCACAACACACACCAGGGCTTTGACAGCTGCGTACAGCCCCTCCACGTCCGACGCCATGGCGACCAGGCCCAAGATGGCCGCCGCCCCACCCACATACTGCAGGTTGGTGGCCACAGGCTTGGGTACGAAGGCACGCACACCTGGAGTGTAGGTACGACAATTTTAAATGACATTCACGAGCTCCTCACGCAGTGGAAGTGCAGCATAAAATCAGCAAATTTAAAGATGCTAATTCGGATATTTAGTTTACCTAAATATCCGATGACAGCAGCTCCGATGGTTCGGGCCGGCCCGTTGAGGTGGCCGGCAGCGTTGTGGATCAGCTTGACCGGGGTGGCGTTTTCATGAGAGGACACGGCGAGCTGAAGACGGGAGGGAGGGAGGGAGGGAGGGAAGAGTTTCAGAAAAGAAAAAAAGTAAAAAACACACAGCCACTCTCTCTTTTCTATGTTTTTAGGAAGCCACTCCCCTTTCTCTTTCACCTTTGGTCATGCAGCTCTGATTGGTTATTTCAGGAGGTGTCAGAAGTTAAGTGCTGAAAGCTGCAGTCTTGTATCAAGGTCTGAAATTTCTGAAAGGCTTTCATTCAACCAGATAGAAATATATATGAATATGAATATGAGAACACGGTGGCCATTTTAGTAAGAGAAAAATACTGGACTAAAAACTTTCTTTATGTGGCGTTGTTTTAAGTTTTCGTTAAGAGTTCTTTAAAAGATGATGTGTTTTATGATTCTCCCTCAGTGCCGGTACAATAAACCACCCTCCTCCCATCCTCCCACAGGCCTCTGCTGTGGGAGAAATGCCGCCTCTGCACTTCTTTGACGTTCGCTTCCTCTGGGTTGCCGTGGGCCGCGGCTTAGCGAGGGAAGGCTGGGAAATAACTTGACAGGTGGGGAGCGAGATAAGGACGGGGGGGAGGGAGCTCATTTGGAGCTCAAACACACACTTTAGGTGGGATAATAGGATGGTGTGTTATTAGCTGTGAACGCATATATATATGTGTGATTGAACGTCTGTGCATAAGTGTGAGTTTGACCTTTGCAAACGAATATGCACCTGCATGTATATCTGTATATATGTGTGTGTGTGTTTACAATTATAAATAAAAGTGAGTAATAGAAACCTGAGCAGAATTTTTTTTACATGCATATTTATTTATTATTTAAGATATAAATCTTTCCTCTCTGCAGACTTTGCAAATTTGCTAAAGGTCTGCACTGAAAACATCCGACCTCCCTCTGCACCGCGGCTCAGGGAGAGAGCTGTTTATTTTTGTCAGTGAGCTCAACACCGCACTCAGTCAGACTCCAGCTCTGTCCCACGGGAAACTGACTCGCTGAAGGTTCAAATAAAGTTAATTTGCTGCTGAACAAGTGTTCTCCACATAGGAAATTAATTTGGATAAACTAAAACAAAACTGCATAAATACAAATTTTTTTTTTGCACTTTGAGAAAAAAATGAATTTACAGTTAGATTAAAGGAGGTAAATGTGGTTTTCTTGCCGGTAGCAGGTGGAGGTTATTTATCGCTGTCTTTATAACACAAGAGGTTATAACACGCACTCTTGAGCGGCGCTACGTCTTCAGGGCAGATCGGAGGCGACAGTGAGTTGCAAAGTGACGAGGCGGGCCGGAGCTAGCTGGTTAGCACGCTAACTTCAGTAGAAGAAAAGAAGTGATGGGGACAAGAGTTGTTGCTTTACACCGCTGGAGACAGATGTTGTGGAGTAAAGGAATGAAGTTTGATGCTGAACTCACGACGTTTCTTCTCGACTGGTGAGTGAACAGCTGTTAATGCTAACGTTAGCTATGTAGCAGTAGTGAAACTCTTTTAAAATATCTCCTTTAAATTCAAATATAAATATCTGACAATAAACCAGATGAACGATAATATGAAATACTATAGGAGAAACATTTAAGGGAGGATATATAAATGTACATATTGTCTTCTCCATTTTAAAGCCATTGTTATTTTGATGGTTGGTAAAGATTTGCTTTCCGCCCATTAATCTCCACGTTTGCTTCTGTCCCCAAAGTTCTCAAATTGTTCACGTACGGGCCAAAATACAATACAACGCTCACATGCGGTATGTCTGACCTGTTTGGCGATGGCTTTGCTGTCCAGTTTGTTGTAGACTTTCCTGATCTTGGCCACAGTGAGCGTGGACACGGAGAGAGCGTAGAGGCTGAAGGACACCTTCTCCTCTGGTACCAGCGCCACCGGAGAGGCAGGGGCCACCTCCGTCTTCGAGTCTTTACCTGGAGCAATAAGGAGAGAGATGGGAGGTATACAGATAAAAGAGTTGGAGGGAAAGGTGATAAAACAGTCACGTCAGCTCAAGAGGGCAGAGGGCGAACAGGTGAGGTCAGGAGGACCACTCACAGGGCAGGTAGACAGCCTGGAAGCTGCCCACGTAGTTGGGTCCCAGTTCGTAGATGGCAGCGACGCTGGTGGCGGGCAGCACCTCCTCCAGAAAGTGGCTGGGCCCCAGACGCCACACCAGGCTGGAGAGCTGGCGCTGGGCCGGCGGCGTCCCCACGTACCCGTACACCGTGCTCACCACAGGAGGGTTGGTGGAGCCGGAGCCGCCCGGAGCGCTGTGGACGTAGTGAAGCTGGAGGAGGAAGGAGGGAAAGTTTAAAGGACAAGATTTAAATTTGAGCATTTTATTATAATTGCAGCAGAAGAAGGAGCTTACTCAACTTACTTTTAAATCATGATTTAACTAATCTGATTGGTAGACGTGCCAAATTTATTAGCTGATTGACAGAAGTTTTATATGATTGTAAATTGAATATTTTTGTCTTTTATATTGTTGGTCGAACAAAACAGAAACATCTGGAGACAAATCATCAATCAAGTGACAAGATGAATCTATAATGCTGCCTTAAATGTTACTCAGCAGTGGGTGATATAGATGACACTTATTATTGTGCACAATAACACGCTCAGCTTCATATATTAGTGTTTGTACATATATTTTATCTTATCATTATTATTAGAAAAAATCTGTGTCTTTTTCTGATGTCTCTTGTCCGTCTTCCCTCCCTCCTAATGTCGCTGTATGCAGCTCTTACAGAGACAATAAAGGCTTTCTACTTCTACTGCTAATTCTAATTCATATCAGCTGTTCTTTGAGCAAAGATCTGTATGTTAGAGATGTGTAAATCTAAGGCCCATCTATCTATTATTCTCAAATCATCAGTTAGAGGGCTAATTAATGTGTAATTAATGGAAGCTATCGTTGTTGTTGTTGTTGTTACTGGGTGGACATATATATATATTTTTTTATATGAAGAGCACCCAAGGGATCCTTAGAGACTTAATACTTCGACAGAGGAGATACTAGAGAGAGGATTTGTGCTACACGCACACAGAAGATACATACGAGCGGCTTGTTTCCTGTGCGAGGAGCTCGGCAGGAAATGAAGCCGTTGTTATCAGCGTTGCTGAGAGGAAGCTGAGACTTGTGGTCTGCCGAGCTGCTCCTCTGCTCTGCTCTCTGATCTCAGGGGGAATCTAAAGTCACTAAACCACAAGCCACATCACTGCGGGCCGCTGCGCTGCCAGGCTGCTGTTTAAAGCCTCCATTCACGTTTGTTTTTGTTGTTGATTCTTTATCAAGGCCTCAGACATTCTGTCCATTACAGACGGCAGCCGCTGATCCTCATCACTTACTTGGCTATTAATGCGATGTCATGTGATATACCATCACCACACGCAGGGATTTAAAATGTATGAAATCTGTGGACGGTGAGAAAATCACACACCCACTCACTCTTAGGTTCTTTGTATAGCAGCCATCTTTAAAAATAGATTAGAGTATGTGAGATAATGATACAGACACTGTGTGTATTTCTTTCCATTTCTGTTAGTTTATAACAGGAAACAATGATGAGCACATTCTGCATTTATAGTGTGTGTGTGTGTGTGTGTGTGTGTGTGTGTGTGTGTGTGTGTGTGTGTGTGTGTGTGTGTGTGTGTGATGCTAATTGAACTATTTCAGGAGCTGCACAGCAAATTGCATTGTCAGACAATGTGCACTGACAATATGATTGATCAATTAGTCTGTTGGTCAATCAACAAAAAATTATCTAACAAGTATTTTTCATAATCAATTAATCAGTTAAATCAGATTTATTTTGGCTCCAGCTTCTGAAATGTGAAGATTTGCTCCTTTTCTCTGTTTTAAATCACTGAACTAAATTTCTTTTCGGGTCTTCTACCGTTGGTCGGACAAAAAAAATAAAAATATAAAAACTAAAGGACTCAAATCATTAGCTGCAGCCACAGCTCAGAAATCTATGAAGTGCACACAACTGTAAATTGATGATTATTTTATATCAGCTGAACCTGGAAGCTGTAAAACATCAGCTGAATTCAGATTTCTTCTACAACAGCATGGGCGTCACTACTTCAATGAAATGGCTTTAAAGACTATTTCCTGTATTGTTTTAGGATTTATGATGTCATACAGTCTATGGTTTTTACCTTGACGGTGTTGATGAGCTGGCCGTCGATGTACAGCGTGGCCATGCTGTTCTTCAGCATGCCTTTGCTCATGACCAGCACCAGGTGGTGCCACTGGCCCTCGGCGATCAGCTCGCCGCAGCGGAAGCGAGCGCAGCAGGGCAGGATCTCGTAGAAGGAGGCTTCTTCACTGGACTCGTCGGCTGCTTCACGGGGGGGGGAGGGAGAGGGAGAGAGAGAGTGGGGGGGCAATACTGATGAGTCAGAGGGCTGGGGCAGAAGTGAGAGCATCAACTCGAGGTGACTGAAATCCTTGACGGGGAAGTTGATATAGATTTGCAAAAGATTGACATAAACATCTACAATCAAATCATGAATTCTCTGGTTGAGAATATGTATATTATTACGTACATTTTAATACATCTTCAACAACAAAAACAGATTCAGAAACTGCACTGATCATTCATTCCCAGTTCGTTAACGCACTTATTTTATTCTGAAAAAACCACCATATGATGCAATAACCGACAGAGGTCGTTAAAAGTCTCTCACAGTAAGTCTGCAGCAGCTCCTCCTTGGTGGAGACGGTCAGCGAGCGGTCTTTGGCCGACAGCACCACAGACAGGCAGACGTAGTGCTGCTCGGAGGAGGTGGCCCGACGCACTACCGTCAGCAGCCGCACCGGGTGGGCCTGAGGCGCCGCGCTGAAACGCTCCACGCAAAACCAGGTGGAGTAGCTCAGGCCCGACGGAGGAGGGAACAAGCGCTCTCCTGCAGGTGGAAGCGAGGAGGCAGGGGGTTAGGAGAGATAAGAGGAGGTGTCACTCTTTTATGTTTCAATATCCCGTATCATATACTGCTGAGTTTCCAGGAATGATGCAGCGATAAACTACATCTATTATTACATGTAAGTCTTGCACAAGGCGACATTAACCTGCGTAGAATAGGACAAACACACACTGCTATGACTCACATGCAAACATATGAAATATACATTTTTATTCTATATTTACATATGTAAATATTATATATGAAACCTGAGAACAATTTCATATATTGTAGACAGATGTTGCATAAATATAAACCCATCCCACAGCTGGTCAGTTTATGTTGTTATGAACGGTACGGTCCAAAAGTTTGACATGTTTAAAACTAATGAGAAATGAATAAGAAAAACATATAGAAACATATAGATTTTTAACATGTATGTAGTTTTAATTAACTTTAATTAAATTTAATCAATCTTACACAGAAAACATGTGCCTTCTATGTAAAAATTCATCACATAGATATTTTTAATTTATACAAATTTTACTTTCTTATAAACTTACACCTTCATATATCCAGAGGATGTATATTAGGTGACATATGTGGCACCATCACTCCTGATACAGGGACATGTTATATATGACATGTGTGTGTGGGGAACACCACACTGGGTTTCCACCTTTGTTGTTTCTGGACAGACAACATGTCGTCTCAATGTTGTGACGCCGGCTGCAGCCGTTTGACATCAAGGTCGGGGACTGTCATACATCGCTGTCGACTGATCCCGCTCACGCACAACCCGAGTTCGTGATGTGAATTTTATTCATGCGTTACAGCTGCTCGGCTTTATCCCGCTTAATACCGTCACGTTCGTTTTGCCTTCATGTTTTTCACGATCTTGTGTTTACTCTTTTCTTTTGAGATGAAACGCATCAATAAACATCAAAACGCCCGTTGGGTTGTTTTATTTCAATCCAGTCATTCATTATTCTTCCGGCTTATCAGTTTGTGTTTGTAATCATTTCACTTTATCTCATTTAGACCTGAGGGCAGCGCAAAGGCTTGATAATATATACTGTATATATTGTATATGTTTTAGGTTGTTTTACCTTTTGTTCCTGTGGTTATTTTCTGGATTATTTTCATTTTAATACCCTACTTTTATTTCTGGTTTTATTCTCTTTAATACATCTCCTCTGTTTTATCATTTAATCTTTATCACTTCATCACTATCTTTGCTTTCCAGTCTTCAGTGTTTCCTCAGTTCCTGGTATCCTGTAAAGCACTGTGATTGATTGATTCATACAGGACAACTTGCACATATAGTGAACAGAAAAGATCTAAACCCATCTGTCAGACTCCTGAACTAAAGCCTGGAAGTGACACCAGCTCGCTGCGCCACCCGACCGTCACTCAACAGGTGACCAACACACTGGACCAAATTAAAACAGTCCAGAAAACAATAATTCACTGTCTGCTGGCACACCAACATCTGCTCTGAAGCCAGGATTGATTTTTGTATTAGGCCTGAAAGACGGATGAAAACGACAAGCTAAATGAAGGCTCACCGGCACCATTAAGTTATTTCTTATCTGCGGAGCTGACTGTGGAGGAAAAGAAAACTGCAGTGGAAGTACTGCAAGAACAAAGACATCGGGATGGAAACATCTATTTCTCGTGTGCACCGGGAGATGTTTGAGACAACGGAGGTGTGAAGACGTTTTGATGAATGAGCCTCGAGATGATGATGTCATTCGAGGATATGGGACAGATAGGAGTGAGATAGGAGAGGGAAGCAGGGAAGGAAGGAGGGAAGGAGGAGGGGAGGGAAGAGGAGTCGAGATAAATGAGGCAAGGAAGAAGGGGAGGGAAGGGACAAAGAGAACAGTGTAGATAGATTCAGGGCGGGAAAAAGAAGTGAAGAAGTAAGAGGAAGGAAAAGAAAAAAGGGAGCAAAGATCAGAGATTGAGATGCGCGGGGAAAAAGGACGAAGGAAAGGAAAAAATTTGAGTGACAGGAAGAAATGACGGAGACAAAAGAGCGAGGTCTATAAATAGTGTCGGGTGACTGGCTGCGGAGGCAAGAGGAGGACGGCGTGGGGTGGATGAGTGCAGAAGGAGCTGAGATGAATAGGTAAACAGATGGAGGAATGATTGTAATGTATGAGTGGATGAGGAGAGGAGAGGAGAGGAGAGGAGAGGAGGAGTCCCGTGCTTCATAAATACTAAATGAGGATACAGACTAGAAAATCAACCATAACGTCATATATTCATTTTATCTCTGCCTTCAGGTCTCGCAATCAGCCTCTTCTGTAAAATCTCTCTGGGTAAAATTATGTTGTGTTTTTTTTAATGAAGCATTTTGTAACAAACAGGTTTTGTTTTTAACACACTATATAACCCAGCTGACAGTAAACCAGAGGCTCGAGGACGAGACGAGGTTTTTCAGCTGCAGATATGAAGCACAGAGATCAGAGAGCAGGCTGCTGTAGGTGATGCATCCACACAATAATGAACATCAGAAGACAGAAGAAATCCTGAGGTTAAAAAAAGAAAAGGCAGCGAGAATCATGACAACACGAAGGAAAAAGGGAAGATGGTGCAGAAATACAACAACAAACACAACGACGGGACATGTCAGCGCAAGAAAGAAAAACTATTTTTCCAGCTAACAGTCTACGTTTTTCTGCCAAACTGGACGATGAAGTGAGAAAAATGTACCACAAATTGGCTGCTGGTCGGTGGTTAAATCCCACCCTGATATTAAAATACTTTTGCCGCGGCTGTGCAACATTCTGCTTTTTCCGAAAGAAATGAAATGCGCCACTTTAATGTTGTAGCAGTTTAGAGGCTTAAAGAGATTCATCAGATGCTAAATATTGATGTAGATGTGTGTTCTGGTGCAAGAAGACCGGACACACTGATTCTGAGGCGTTACATTGAGAAAGCTGCTCCAGCTGCTCCGGGTTTCTGTCTGGTTTCATATCTTTTTTTTCTTTTTTTTTTTTTCATGCTAACTGCCCACTTCCTCTTCTGTTCGTATTCAAGCCAAAATTTGGAAAATCCAGTAAAATGTCTGGCACAGCAACTTTCATTTTGAAGTGCTGAGTCACAACACAGAGCTGGTGTGTGCGCAGTCAGGTGACCCGAGCCAGCTTGCTCCACAATATGTAAACCAATGAAATGATTTTTACTGCCTGATTCTTGTTATTCTTACAAAAAGATGAACATGTTGTGCTGTAAATACAACAAACAGTAATTCATTAATTACTTATATCATTGAGTTTTATGTCTAAAGTGGATTGAAAACTGCCACAATCTGAACATGTAGCTTCCCATGAATAAAGTTTGGTGAGAGGAGGAGGAGGTCAAAAAGAGCAGTGCTGTACTATATAACTCTGCTTTACCTGAATATAAACTAATCACCAAAACTGTATGAGCTGAATAAACAAGCAAGCAGGCCATGGCGGCTAGGTAACGCATCTAGTCCTGCAAGCCGCTAACATGTCTCCATGTTCCAACATAAGCTGGTGCAATGAGAAGCACTTCTTACCTGTGCCCATCCCGCTCAGCACCGCTCCATCGCTGACACCTGAGGCGTTGGTGTTGTTGGTGGGGGCATTGTGCGGCGCCAGACTGGGCAGAAACAGGCACCTGTCCAGGGACAACAGAGGGCAGATTAATGGGCTGTTATCTGGTGGAAACAGCTGTTAACGTGGGCTTACACATGTAGCTGCAGGTTTTGTTTGAATTGCCGCTGCAGCCCGGCTCCATCCCCGAGACGGGAAAATCTCATCCAAACTCACAAACAACAAAACAAGTCCGGTAATTCAAGTGCTGGGACACACAGGAGCTTTGTATTACAATATTGTAATTTCAACTGCCTGATACTCAAGGATTAATGATGTATGAAAGGAGGACGAAAGGAGGTGGGATAAGATAAGTTCAGCTGAGGTCAGAGCTGATACTGATGACAACATGAATAACTGCAACAAGACGACAACTCAGCTGTTATTTGGTTTGATAAACATGTAAGTCTGATGTCTGTGTGCGGCGTCGTCTCCGCTGTTCAAGGACAAACAACCCTTCCTCAAAATTACAGAGACTTTGCGACTCTGACTTGCGAGTCGGCGCCGCGTTCTGCTGAGTCACCGCCCGTCGGTGAAGGTGCTATTTCCACCTCTCTAATCATCCTGAGCCGGCACCGAGGACACTGGTGCTTTGGGGAATGAACGTGGGGATTTTTCTTTTTTTTTTTTTCCCCTTTGTGCAGAGACAAAAAAAGACCTGAAAGGTGCTACTGAGGAGAATTCAACCAGAAACCTGAGAGAGCTGGACTGCACCGCAGTAGAGGACAACCTTGAGGACAGCTGTGGACAACACCTGGATACAGTATCTGCACAGGAAACATAAAATCATATATTCAACCATTCAAAATCTCCCTTTACGATATTAAAACTGCAGGAAAAACAGAGTTTCGCAGGAGAAACTGTGTCTATCTTAAGCCAATTAATTGCAGCACCATTCCCGCTAACTCCCATTATCTAAGAGGCTCGGTTCATTTTTCTTATGCAATTCAACAGCAACAGCAACAAATCGGAGGGAATGAGCACAAGGCTGAAGCTCCTGCTCTCGACTGTAGAGTTCACTCCACTTCTGTGTGCGTACGTGGGCGGGAGTCTAAATTATCTACAGTGACGTGTACACTCGCCCTTTAAATCGCCCCCTGGAGACAAATAAAGTTTCTTTTGAATTAGATAAAGTTTCTTGAATGGAGTTTTTGGGCAATAATGGAGCTCCACAGCACAGAGGAAATTGATTGTAAACGGAAACTCTTTCGATTTGAGATTTATCTGAAGACGTAAACGGTAAATGATCTGCACACATACAGAGCTGTTTCTGGTCTTATTGCTTTACGTTACAGGCCACTTTCACCCATTCACACAGCCCTTCTACCAAACACACACACACAGACACACACACACTCATACACTGATCGAACAATTTTTCTTCAATATTGACACGGGAATCGAACCACCGACCTCCTGATTAGTGGACGACCTGCTCCACCTGCTGAGCCTCATTCACCCAAAATCCGGGGCCCAGGGAACGAAGAGAAGCTTTTCTTTTAAAACTATTTTCTGACTCTTTAAAAAAATATAATTAATAATTAATTACGTTCACTACATTACTACTGCATTAATAAATCATAAAATCATTGTTAGTAGCAGCTCTACATATAATCCAGTTACTATAAGAACCTTTAATTAGCTCTCTATAAATTATGCATTTAGAAAAAAAGACACTGCTGGAGCCTTTAATTCTTCTCTGCTTTTTTTTTTTTTTTCATGTAGCTTTCTTCCCACCTGGACAGGAAGGTCAGGGGTCAAGGTTCGCCGCAGGGAGGCGTCCCCTGAAGCTGGCGGAGATTCAACGACTTGGTCAAGGACGCTTCTCAAGGGCAGACGCTCTGCTCCTCCACTCGCCGCTCTGTGTAACTAACGAGGAGAGCACCACCCTGCTGCTTCACAGTAACTACATGTACACCCCCCCCCCCCCCCATTACTCATCCCCATGATGAGATTAAAAAGGATTTCAGCAGCGATTTTTTCTTTTTCTTTTAACAGTCAGAATGAGATGCAGGTTTTTTTTTTTTATTCTTCTTCTTCAAAAAAAAAAAGATGGTGGTCTCCTCCTCTCCGCCCCCTCCACCCACACTGATAGCATCTTCCAAGCGCCCCCCCCCCCCCCCCCTTTTGGAATCGCTGGCTGGGTGAGTGTGCACTTGTGTGTCTTAGTGTGTTTAAGCATGTTGAGAGAGGGAGCGTGTGAGTGGAGAGAGTGCCTGAGCCCTAATAGCAGCAGGGGCATCAATTTTTCATGCTGACAGATGGGAGGGAAAGGAGGGGTAGTCTCTATATGTGTATGTGTGTGTGTGTGTGTGTGTGTGTGTGTGTGTGTGTGTGTGTGTGTGTCCTCCTCTGTTTACGCCGAGCAGAAAGTGGGCCAGTGCCTCGTTGCCAGTGCGCTGCTTTGCTGTGTTTTTTCAGGAGAAACTCCATGTTCTATTCTGATGCGGCTGCTGTGGCGAGTCAAACGCTTCTTACAGGGCGAAGGAAACGGCGAAACTACGAGACGACGGAGCAGGAAGTGTGATCTCCGGGAGGGTCGGGGATTTTTAAATACAGAGAGCAAAACGCACCTGAACTTCCCGTTCGATGTTTTCACGCCTTGATTTCAGACGTTTGCTTGAAGTTTTAAGTCTGAGTGGATAAACCTGTACCTGTGTTTTAATAAAGATAAAAGGAGGTGACTTTTTATTTTTCTCTTCAACACTTTAAAACCATCGCCATAAAAGGAACAGCTGATTTCACAATATCGTTAGGCATAGCCTGGCGACCTGCGCAGGGTGAACCCCGCCCTCGCCCAGTGTCACCTGGGATTGTCTCAAGCCCCATAGCAACCCTAATCGGATAAACGGTATGACTAATGATGATGAATGAATGAACCCCGACATTCATGCGATTCTACTGTGACCTGTTCTCAGCGTCTGTTGGTGAATTACGACTCTGAAGAGTGAATAACGTTCAGGTCGGTCTCGTGAATGCACCAAAGATTATCAGTGAAAGTTCATTCTTCCTTCCTCGGAGAAAGAAGTTCAAGTTCAAGGTCAACTTACTCGCTTTTTCTGGAGCTTGTTTTTTTCGAGACTCAGGCTCAGTAATTTAAACTTTCAAGAACATAACATCTGCACACACTCCCCACGACACTGATGCTAGCTAATAATTCAATGCAGGTCAGGTAAATCGCAGGAAATACCCTTCTGCATTTTGCCAAAACATCTACAATGACCTCGTATCCTTATGAATATTAATGAAGAATATAACATGTCACCGTCTGAAGTCTTTCTCAACAGTTGTTTACTCTGTGTAAGCGTAACATGTGAACTCCCTGACACTTCCGTACACGGTTTTTGATAAAAGTGTGTGGGCGAAACGCCAAGGTCACATCGCGAACACCGCAATTTCCACTGACCCCCAAAAAACTTTCCCTGCGTGTGCCGCTACCGTTCATACATGAAGCCCGGGGAGCGGCAGACCCTGTCAGCAGCAGCAGCAGCAGCAGCAGCAGCAGCAGCAGCAGCAGCAGCCACAAACTGTGTCATGTGACATTAAAGGCGGAAAATCAGCCTATTTGTATGCGCCCGCTCCACAACCAGAGGCGAATAACAGAGTCCTGCTGAGACAGTTTGCAGGTGCTGCCCACACACACACACACACACACACACGCACACAACCTGTTTCATTGCAGGGAAAAAAACATAACATGTGGCACCCTGAGGTTTGTGCCGCTGGTGAGGAAAATTGCTCCTCAAAGAGAAACATTCGGAGGGAAAGTTTACAGAAGAATGAGCAGCATCTGTTGCTGCAAGACATTCTTTTTTTTTTTTTAAAAGCAGCTGATGAAGAGCGGGAACGTCCTCCCGGATTTAGGAGACAACAATCACGAGCGATTCCCTGATGCAGCTTAAACCTTCCTGTTGCCATTTATTATTGATCCTTTTCATCCAGGAAGATTTTCTTTACAGGATTAACGACTGATCAAATGACTGTTTGTTTTTAAAACGCATCGCTCCTGCTACGTCTGCGGCTGCCGTCCACACTACTCCTACAGTGGATTCTTTTGGAAACGATGACGTGTGATGTGTGAACAGGACGTACTTATAACATATTAGCCACAAGAAACAAGATAACGTAATTGGGAAAACCAGATTGTAAACAACAGCTTTAAGTTGTTCATGCTCATGCCGACTCACCCGAAGCCCTCCAGCGAGGTGTCGAACTCCACGCAGGCGGGCGTGACGGCCGATCCGTGCAGGCGGATGTCATGTGGTGTTGTCATGGACACCAGGCACTTGACTCGGGTGAGGGGTACGGTGCTGCCCTCGGCAGAGCGCACCAGGCTGCGGCTGATGCGGTACTGGCCGTTGTCCTCCGCCGGCGTGGCGAAGACGCTGTCGGGCCCGAAGCCCTCCATGGACATGGTCATGCTGTCTGTGAAGTCAGGGATAGGTTAAATTCAGGAGGTGCAGCCACAGATCTAATCTAATCTAGACTGAATGAGGTTTAGTAAACTTGTTCTCTCTTGTAACTTTATATTTTATTTTGGCAACGGCGAAGCTGGAGGTAGAAAAAGAAAGAAAGAGACACCAATGATGGGTCCAGGGTCTGGAGTGAAAACAATGAACACTTTGCATTTCTTTTCATCATCTGCTGCTGTTTCCTTACTTTAGTATTCTCTGGAAAAAGAAAGTGAGAGCATTTTAGGCTTTAGATAACTCAAGAAAAGAGCATGTTTATGATCTGAATGCTCGGGACGATATGGGATGATATCGAATATTGCCATATTTCCCAAAATATGCAATATTTTTTAATCATAAACAACTTTTTTTTCTTTTCTTGTTGCAGTCTTGCACAGTCTAAGCTGCTGCTGAATCCTCAGCTCACCGCTTTCCTTACTGTACATCGTACCTTGGCATGTGACTAATAAAACTTTACAGAACAACTGTTTACAGGCAGCATTGCTTACACCTGAAACATAAAATACAGTAATATAAATATATATAATAAAGAAAACAACAGAAACACGTGTTTATATCCATATACATCAGGTTGTTAATTAGTTTCTTTCAACTCTGTACCTGCTACATCTCCCTGCACTAACATGATCACCTGCTTTAGTTTTAGAGGCATCATATGAACAGTAGCTACATAAATAAATATACAACTTCTTGTTATTGGTCAATTAGATCAGACATTGTGGAAAAATATAAAACCAACTGGCGCTGGGTAAAAATATGAATACACTTACAGAGTACTAGAGCTCTGGACCTCATAGGTTTGAATGTAGAAACTCATTTATTTCTCCGTGCAGACATTTCAGAGTTGCTAAAACAGGTTGAGCCAATTCCCGTGAAACAGCAGCATTAAATCAAAGCCTGGATGTTCATCGACTGGAATAAACTCCTGGTTTAAGCTGCAGTATTTTACATTCTACTGAGAACATGGATTCACTCGTTTGTTAAGAGTCAGCAGATGTGACAAAAGACAAGTTAGATCAAAAGAAGAACTACAACACCCATCAACAGCGGCTAATAAACCACAGTAGATTATCTCCTCACAGACGGAGAGAGATAGCTCTTTGTGTTCTAACAGTGGCTGCTAATAAAGAGCGGTAATTAGTGGGGACTTAATATCCATTCTCAGCTGGGAGGAGACACAATTAACAATTAAGACGTGCCGAGGAGCCCACAAAATTACAAACAGGAACAGCTGGTAATAGAAAACAAACTATTAGCATCAGATTCAAGACGGTCTTTGTTTAAACGGAGTATTTACACATCAGCTGGGTTTTAATCAGAGGCCAAGGAGATGTTGTTGTGTTTCCTACAAGCTGACGACCCGCCGCTTTGCTTACAAATGAACGCACTTCTGTTCCACCTGCAGCTTGGCCGTTACACAACCCTTCTTCATATGCCCCTCGTAAAATGTTTGTGTACATCTAAGACGCAGAGTTTCCCGTATCTAACGCAGTGATACACGCTGGTGCTGGTTGCACTGGAGTCAGGCCGCTCCACCGACTGCGGGATCATCGAATTATTGTTCCCCTTTTTCCACCCCTGAGCCGGTGCCAGTGATTTCCTCCCAGTCATTAAGTTTTGACGGAAAGCTCATCCTCTGCAATCACAGCCTATTCACAGGAGGATTCATCCAATGAGCTCTGAGAGAGTGACCAAAAAAAAAAATAAAAATTGCTAGAAGATTGATGACCCTTTTTTTTTTTCTTTCAAGATTTTAGCAGAGAGTGAAACTTTCTCTTCTTTCTCCCGGGAGGAAGCTGGTGTCACATTGGCAGATGGGAATGGCTCCCAGATGACATCATCATTTCATAACTGCCCTGGAGGACTGCCGTGGGCTTCAATAGCTCTTCAATTCTCAGCTATTAAAAAGTGATTGGTTCACTTGTAACGAGGCTGTCACTCCTGTCGCCCCCACAAATTCAAATAACATGTTATAGTCACTGATAAAAACACATTGACGACTGTTTTTGTCTTTTACTAGATGTTTGTCCCCTCTTCTACTTGTTTGTATAAGTGTTTTATGAACAAGAAAATGCATGAAACTGTTTCTGAGAAGTGAAATTTTAAAGGTATAGTCTGCAGGTCTCTGTCCATGTGTAGTGTGATTATAGATCAGGTCTAGCTTCTATATTAATACTGTGAAAGTATCAAAGCCTCAGTCCACAGAGAAATGCACACAGCCTGTATTCAGAAACTGAGCCTTAAAACCAGCCGTCAGGACTTCTGGAACTTTGTGATGTCACAACACAGCAGTCACCAAGCCCCGCCCACCTGGACCCACCATCCAAACCTTGCAGGATTTGGTTTCTCTGAGTGTTTTTACCTGAAATATGATACATTTTTTTATCAGGTCACTCAGAAAACAGTCAGCCAATCAGAAGAGAGGCTCAGAGCCTCCTCTCTTCTGATTGGCTCACCGACCTGTTGTTACTAGAGCTCCAGAGAGAAGCCTGAGAGAGGAGATGTAAAATTACACTGCGATGGTTTCTATATCTTCTTATGGATCAACACTTCAAAATAAAACTTTTTACTGCTACAAACAATAAAAATCTTCAAATAAAAATGTACTGAAGCTGTGACATACAGCAAAAAACCAAATCTGGCAACATTTACTTTTGCACACGACAGGTCAACAACAAACTGACTCTCATTTACCATTTAAAGGTAATTACATGTTGTCATGAAATGTTATTGCGTATATAAAGGCAAAACTATCGAGCATATAATAACAAAAATTTAGAGGCAGAATAATATAACCACTGCAGCACAAAATGTTCTTTGAAATGTCCTGCTGTTGTGGTAGAAGACGGTGACCAACAGTACAAAGAGAAACTGTTTATCAGTTAGAAACAGGTCTGATGGAGAACACCAGGAACAGCACTTCCTCTCAGAGACCCGGCACAGTCACTATCATGTGATCAAAACTGGGATGAGAGCTGTTATTGTCTTACTTCTCATCTCGGCGTCATAGCTGAGGGAGCTCGGTTTGTGGACCCGGTACTGCTTCAGCAGCTTCTTGTCCCAGGCGCCGCAGTTCAGAGGGTTTCCAAGACGTAAGAACTCCCTGGAGGGGAAGACGAGCAGGAAGTCAAGGATAATAAATATATACCAACAAAGAAAAAGAAAACAGAAAGACACAGGATGGATAATATTGTGGAGATAGCTTCTTATTTTTTTTCATCATCATTTATTTCCATCAGTTTGTTCTTGGTGTTACAGCAATTAGCAAAAAATTAACAAAAATTAGCAAGTCGGTGTCGATCTGTATCAAAATCCTTTCAGTGGCTTTAAAGAGAAAGTATTTGTTGAGCTCCAGGAATTAAACTAAGCTAGGCTACACTCACCAGTCAACCAACAAACTGCAAGAAACAAAAAGAAATGCAAGTCATCTGACTCTGGATAAAAAGGGTAAAACCTGCTGTAAATTCAAAGTAATACTACATTTTATTTATGGGAAACCTTTCAGGATAATCAAAGACCTTTAAACGGTGACCAATCAATATTAAAAAAAGAAGTTGTTTATCGACATAATAAGTCTGTTTTCATTAACTAGCTGCTCAGTAAAAGGAATATGGCTCGTGTTGTCATCCCGGGGGAACCACCGATCATAAACATGTCCTATATGTTCTCATAAAGCTGTAAAGCACTCTGGGTAAAAGCATCCATCACAGCGTTACGCCGCAGGTTGGCTTCTACACCTCGGCCACTCTGGTTAACAGCATGTTTTAGCGTGTTTTCAAAGTGGGCGACGAGGCTGACTGGCATGTAAGTGACATGAACGCAAAGAGTCCCACTCGTCAGAGCGCTGAGTGAGCGACGGCAGCGTTCGCAACCGGGCGGCTTCAGTAACAACACCAAAGACACGGAGACACTCTGGAGCTTTGCTGCCGGCTGATGTCGGCAGAGCAGAAACAAAAATGAGAAGAAGAAGAAGAAAGAAAAAACAAAAAAACACAGGAGGAGAATTATGACGGCAAAGTGACAGAAGACGACTGACAGCGCTCACAGAGAGAGAGAGAGAGAGAGAGAGAGAGAGAAGACGATGGGAAACAGATTGACAGCTACAGATATGTTTACCCCAAGCACAATTACATGGGGAGAGAAAAATCAGCCGGGGAGTTCGCATTTACATATGAAAAGAAACAACGACGTGCATGTCAAATAAGCCCCCCCCCCCCGGGTTCCTCAACCCCAAACTCCCATCTCACTTAACTAGTCAAGCAGGAAATGAGAATCTCTCAGTTCTGTCTGTAGACATAGGCCTCCTTCACACTCTGAAGCCCGTCACAGCAGATTACCCTTCGCACCTCATTTTGTTTTTTGTTATTTTTTCCACTGGAGGGAAAACGTCACGTTCCTAAGAAGAAGAAGAACCTCCAGGACGTAAGAACGTTTGTGGCACTTATTTCTGCCCACGTCTCATCCTACGAATAATATCTCTCAATTGGAAAAAAGAACATTAACGTCCATAAACTGATGGAGAAATGACTGCAAAGCCACGATAATTACCTGTTTAAATGAAATATCTAAATATTAAATATTAAACATTATTAACACTGATAAGAAAAAAAGATAATATTATCCACTGTTTGTTTCAATTTTAGCTCTTTACCCTGCTACTTAGAGAGATAAACATGCTACAATGCTAAAAGTTACCAACTTTAGCGTGTTAGCATGCTACCAAGCTAAGTAAATGTGACATACTCAATGTTAGCACGATAAAAGGCTAAATGTAGCATGCTAAATGACTGATCAGCCACCCAGCGGTGATGTCACAGGGTCCTGGGGTACACCTGTACGTCACTGCAGCAAGGTGAGAGTTTAAACTCACTGAGGTCATGAAGGTTTTCTTCAAACATCAGCATGTTAAAGCAGCACATCAGCATGCTAATGTAAGCACTCAGCTCAGAGAAACCCATCTGAGCCCAATTACAGCTGAGGTTGATGAGGAAGCTGAATTTGAGATGTCCACCGAACAGACGATAAACTCTAAACTGGGTAACAGCACGGCCTTCCATCTGGTGCCACCGCCACAACAACAAACTAATAACAACAAAAACTCACAGTTTTCCATCCAATAGTGAGGAATCTTTGTAATTTATTGTACCCTACATATGCACATCTCCACTTTACTTATGCACACCCTCACTTTACATACCTGTACAGCACACACTTGCACTTTAACTGCTCTTTTGCACTTCTGGTTAGATACTAACTGCATTTCGTTGTCTTAGTACGTGTACTCTGTGCAATGACAATAAAGTTGAATCTAATCTAATCTAATCTAATCTAATCTAATCTCGTTGTTCTGGGATGGAGTGCAGCCGGGCAAATACTAGACTACTAACCGTTAGTTTAGTTTTTCTTCTATTTGTTGTTATAGTTTAGAGCCATTTTAATAACTTTGCTTTAATTCTGAGCTGTAAAACATACGTAACAACATATACTGTATGTCCCTATGAAAAGAGCCAATCAGCTGGCTAAAAATGTGGCCGACAAATACCAACACGCATTATCAAGAGTCCAAGAGCAGATTTTCTAGATGTTAATGTGGTTTCTTTGCTTTTAATTGTCTTCATTTTCTTCTTGTTAATGTGCATTTGTTGTTTAACATGTAGACTTTTTTATTTCAGTTATTTTCTGTGTTTGGCTTGTTTAGTTTTTTTCTGCTTTATTAATATAATGAGATTTTAATAATTGTTTTATTTCTTGTTTTTGTGTGCGGACCGCAGGAAGACGAGCGACCACTGTGTGCAAGCTAATACTGATCCAAATAAAGAGTAAATAAATGAATAAATAAATAAATGCAACCAGCAAAATACCAGGACATGTTGATAACGCTTGAGGGTTAAAGTTATGTGCATGTTAAGTTTAGACAATATAAACCAGATCCAGTACCTGAGTGCCATCGGCTGCAGGGCCTGCGAGGCCAGCCTCTCAAACATCCTCTGCAGCGGCGGGTGCAGTGGGTGGTCTTCGTCGCCCAGCGCCTGACTGCAGCGCTGCAACAGCCGCTGGTGGAGGCAGGCCTCGCACAACACCTGCTGGTTCCTCTCACTGTTCACCAGGAGCTGGAGGATGTTGGCCACCGCCAGCTGCAGGTCCAGAGCATGCTGGAGGGAGACGGGGGGGGGTTATCCCAAGGTTGGTATCCACTCAGTTCCTCTGGGTATGTTAGTCAGGCCTTTCTAAGCAATAATCAATTATTTTTTTATGACAATATTGGATATCCTTCTTGTGTTTCCTCACCTCTGGCTGGCTGTCGGAGGAGACGGAGGGCAGCAGGTCCAGTATGGCCAGGACGGCCCCTGGGTGGATGACCACCATGTCGGACGACAACGACGAGGAGGAGGAAGAGGAGGAGGCGGCAGGATGGGTGGGGTTAGTCAGGTGGAGTTTCAGGTCTGTGAGGGCTTTGACCGGGGCGGGGGGACCCGACGTACCGTAGTAGCCTTGTCTGGGAGAACAGGGAGGGAGAAAGAAGTCAGCAATTTAGTTTAATTCAGTAAGAGGCAAATCAAGTTATTCCCACCACAGACACAACAAGGTCCAAACAAACAAACAGAAAGTGTGTTGAGTATTTTGTCACGGGGAACCCTGCTGATCCCTGTTAATACAGTTAAGAGAACAGGTTTATTAAGATAAGAAAATCAAATCATCATTATGAGATGGGATATTAGAAGCTGCCTCCAGCCATGTATAGTCAAACGTAGATAAGTTTGTTAGAAGCCCTTCCCTACAGTGAAATATGTGAGTCACTCACAGGAATAAATATTCCTATTTTCAGCCACAGTGTCTCCCAGAGGAAAACCTTCTTTCACAGCTCAGTGGAGACGTTCTCATAACGAGGATGGAGGTAATTACATCACCGAATCAGTGTAAAATCGCATTCAACACTTTGGACTCCGGTTTTAAATTTGACATGAGTCAGCGGTCTTCACACTTCACACAGGGTGTCGGTCGACCCCCGTTTCGTTCTGAAGCGCTGAGCCTCGTCCTCGTGTGCGAACAGCGCAGAGCGGGAGAGATCTGCCGGCGCCTGCAGTCGGGCAATTAGACAAAACAGGCGCGTTACTGCGATGCAAATTACAGAGCGGCAAATCCCACCTCGGGAGATACGCTGAGCTGGAAAAGGCTGGAGTCAGCATCACGTGCTGGAAGGGTTCAATGCGGTGCAGGAAACCAACGGGGTTGCTCGCGCTCACGGTCGCCGGTGGATGTTTTAATTGTTGGGTTTTTGTTTTGTTTTTTTTGTAGAATATAATCGCAATTCTATATTATTATGTTCTGTCTGAGAAGAAGGACGAGGCTTACCTACAGTATGTTCTACATAAATAAAGTAATGGCTGCTAGATCTAATGAGTCCGGCTTATTCAAACATTAAACTCGCCATTTCTCACCTAAAAACAAGAGGACGATGCTCAAATAATCTGCAGAAAGATCTAAAATTAGCTAAATTTATATCCACTGAAAATTTCAAGGGCATCATAAAGAATGTGGTAAATGAGAAATGCACCTGCAGAAATTGGAGAAATGCAGTTTGTTTAGCTGCTATCTCTGTCAGATCTCTTTTTATAAAGAGATTATTTTATCTCAGTGGGACTTCCTGGTAAAATAAAGGCACAAAACACCCCAGGTTTTCTGCTGAAGTGTGACACTTGAGGTTGACTCTCTCCTTAGCTGAGGGTGCTGCTCTTAAAAAGATCAGTTTTCTTCATTAATCACCATAAACTCATCATGTTGCAGTTGGTACCTTAACTTTCTTTCCTTACTTTGGGCACTAAGGTCTTCTGTGCAACGATTCCTTAATCATAAGACTAAGATAAGGAGCAAAATGTGTTTTGTGCAGCCGGCCTCAGGGAAAACTGTAACCACTATTTATTTTTTCTTTAGCCACGATTGTAAAACATTATTTTCTCGAGCTCTCGGTGCAGCAGTGAAGGATTTACTGTCCGCATGGTTAACAGGAAGCATCTAAAAAGATGAAATGAAATCACCATTTCATGCCTCTTTAGTTGTCTAACCGCAGAAACTGGAAAATATGTAAATAAGAACAGCTGACTCTGAACTTTGGCTCTGTTAAAAAGAAAAGAAAGAAAGGCTGTGATGAACAGGTTTGTAGTTTTCCAGTGTTTCCTCCAAGCAGAGTCGCTTCAGCATGAATGCATATTGTTTTCACAGATTTCTCCAGTTCAGTGATCCGTGGAGACGCCCGAACATGCAACATCGAAAAGAGCCTGGTTTTATTTCTTTTTTTGTTCAGATTACGAAAATATTTGTTTAATCAAAACTGTGCCACTGTCACAAACATGATCACCGCAGCACCGACTGCAAACTGCTGGCATTCCCTCTGAGGCACAGCTCGTTGCACAAGATGTTTTTGGAGCTGCTGAGTATCACTTGGACGGAGATTATATCACATGATGATGTTTCCATTTGAATCAAACCAAGCGAAACCTGAGCAATTAGCATCTGTTTTTTTTTTTTGGGGGGACGTTGAAAACTGAGGGTGGAAAAGAAGGAAAAAGCAAACTGAGAAAAAATGGTAATTAAAAGTCCACACAGGAGAGCTCATATAGAAGTATACAAACAGGGACTAATTGTCAAATCAGTGCACCTCATGAATATGCAGCGTTGGAACTGATCCAGACAGACAGACAGAAAGAGACCCCCCCCCCCCCCCCCACCCACCCACCCAGTTTAACCTTGACAAGCTATTACAGCTCACTAAGGCAGAGCACATTCAAAATGTCCCGACTGTTTTTGCTTTTGTAAATGAAATTCAAAGTGTAGCAGAGTCTGGGGTGAGGAGGTTCGCGCGTTACTTCAGAGGGAAGAGAAGAAGAGGGAGGGAGGGTGGGGGTGGGGGGGGCAGGAGTACCGAGGAATGTGATGAGAAGAAAAAAACGGCCACATTCGACTGAGGGTAATTGGTTGATTTCTGCCTGGATGTAGAAGAGCGGCGAGGCTGGAGACAGACTGAGACGACACTGTGGCGGCAACAAGAAAAATACCGTTCACTCGACTTATTTATCTCTGCCGCTCCTCTGACAGTCCATATTCAGTGTGAACTCAGACGTGAGGAATAATCAATAGAATCAATTTATTTTTTACAATTTCAAGCTCATAGAAGAGGTTCTGCCCTGAGGTAGTTCATCTATTAGCAATAGAAACTAGTGCTGATGTGATTAGTTGATTAATCAATTAGTCAATCAACTGAAAATTCATTTAAAATGATTTTGAAAATCAGTTTGCAACGTCAACCATTCTTTGGTCCCTTTGGCTTTTCAAATGTGAAGATTTAGGGCTCCAGCTGCTTATTTTAATGATCAATTCATCTGCCAATTTTTATCTTGATTAATCAATAAATAGTTTGGTTTATTAAAACATCAGAATAAAGTCAAATACTGGTCATCAGGATTTCATAAAGTGAGATCAGGAAAAGCAGAAAATCATCAAATGTTTTGTATTTTTAACTTGAAAAATACAAAACGATTAATCAATTATTGATTTTTTTGTAGAGCACCTAATCAATTAATCAACTGATTTCCTCGGCTCTCGTTTCCTTATCATTTGGATCTTTGGTATTTGGCCTGTTGAAAGGACAAATAAAGTAACCTGAAGATATAAAATGTGAAATGGTGACTGACTTTCTTTCATTATTTTTTGACAGTTTATAAATCAAATGATTAAATTACATATTATTATTCAGAAATATTATGAATAGATTATCAGATAATGAAGATAATAATAGAGATAATAATTAACAATCACTGTGAACTGGTTGTATCACTAAACCTTTAAGCTCTTAATTCTTTTAATTATCAGATGAAAACCTCAAATTGAATCTATTATTAGTGGAGAAATAAATCTGAAAAAACCTGCCTGAGTTTTTCCCTCGTGGAAACCTGTTTCATCTCTGTGGGTGTGAAACTGTCCTGTCACATGATCTGCCAAAGGATTTCTAGGACGGTGAAGACGGACTCGTTTTGTGGGCGTGTTTGAGTGAAGGTGAGGAAAATGGAAAATGCAGAGGAAGGAATGAGGGTGAGAAAAGTGGCAGAGCGCTGTAGCTACCTCTTCCTGGCGAGTGCTGGCGTGCCCCACGGCGAGGGCAGCGAGGTCTCATGAGTCAGGCAGGGAGGCACCTGCTCCGCACGACTGCATGGCAGCACACACGCACACACGCGCACACACACACACACACACACACACACACACACACAGAAAGCCACAATCAAAGACAAGCATGCACACACACACGCACACGCACACATGCAGCCGTGCAGATGGACCAGACCGAGGATGAACAGCCAGAGGTTAGAGGACGAAAAAAGAGAAAAGAAGAGAAGAAGAGAAGAAGCTGTTAGTGGAAAGCTGACAGAGGAAACAGGATCAGAGCTACAGCTGGAGCACATGCATGACGCCAGCTACACCTGCACATGAGCTGCGCAGGTAGCGCTGTCATAGCGACCGAGGCAGGAGTCTGATACCTTCAGCTAAATGCAGACTGCTTTCGACTGTGACCTCCAGGTGGTGCACACATGCACAGAAGAAGAAATGGGGTAAAGAGGATTGTAACCGATTAAACTGCAGTCAACAGGCCCAGACAGTGAGAGCAGCATCTGAACAACCCGCCTTAAAACACCATTTATTTGTTTTTTCTTGTTTCCTTTGGCATCACAGTTGTAATTAATTTCTGATTATTTATCATTTGAACTGATTTCATACTTTCTGGCATCATGACAACACTGTCAGGCTGAGCCACAGCCACAGCCAACCTCTTTATTAAACTTTTTCACTCACCAGCATCTCTGTTTGCTTTTACATAGTAAATCCTCAGCATGTCAGTGTCAGTCTTCAGTGTAGCTGAATGTGATGTTGATGTAAGATGCAGCAAATTAACTTTAAAGGTCCCATCCAGTGTAAAGGTCTGTGTCCATGTGTAGTGTGATTATAGATCAGCTCTAGCTTCTATATTAATACTGTGAAAGTATCAAAGCCTCAGTCCACAGAGAAATGCACACAGCCTGTATTCAGAAACTGAGCCTTAAAACGAGCCGTCAGGACTTCTGGAACTTTGTGATGTCACAACAAAGCAGTCACCAAGCCCCGCCCACCTGGACCCACCATCCAAACCTTGCAGGATTTGGTTGGTTGTTTGTTTTTTGAGTGTTTTTTCCTGAAATCTGCTATATTTTTATTGGATCACTCAGAAAACAGTCAGCCAATCAGAGGAGACGCTCAGAACCTCCTCTCTTCTGATTGGCTCACCGACCTGTTGTTACTAGAGCTGCAGAGAGAAGCCTGAGAGAGGAGATGTAAAACTACACTGAGATGGTTTTTGGTTCTTAAAACCACAAATATATCTTCTTATGGATCAACACTTCAAAATCAAACACAGAAGAAGAAATAAATATTGGACTTTTAATCTACAGTAATAAAGAAGCAGAACTTAAACAATCAGCACAGATTTAAGATATGACCATCTCCCCTTTGCTTCATTATTTCTACTTGAGTTCAGTTTTTTAGGTCACTTGAGTTTGTACAGCAGTGTTGACGTTGTTGTTGTTCTGACAATAATCCCCCTTAAGGCTCAATAATTTGGACCCTGAATCTTAAATAAAAATTAAAAAATTAAAAAACGTTGATAGGAGTTCATTTAAGATTCAAACGAGGCCAAAAGAAACACGACGGTCCCTCATGGGGAGGAAGAGAAATTAACTGAAGGCTTTTATTATATGTATAAAAAAATAAATAAATAAAACGTGAGAAATGAACATGTGGTTTCAATCTGCCGAAAGGCTCCGTGACTCAGAGCCCACGGCCCACAGTCACATCGTAATTCTTTACACGGCCACAAAAACTCTCTCTAAACTGTTCACTTGTTACACAGTGAATCAATAACTCGTTGACAACATGTTGACAGGAATGCCTCATCCGTATTCATGTGCGAGCTACATGCAGAGAGACGACCCTTCAAGCCTGATTTATGGTGTAATGTACACACTGCTGCACATTCCTACACGCCACTGGCGGGCTCTCACCTCACACGGACCCCCAAACAGTGTATATAACAATTATTTGAATGCCATTATTAAATATCACACTGCAATGCCCGGGTTGCGTAACGCGCTCACCTGTCAAAAGAGTCGGTGGCCATCTTGTACAGGTAGATGAAGAGCTTGCTGCAGTGTTTGAGCGTGGGGCAGACGCTGTCTCCGGCGCAGCCTCCGGGGGCGGCCTCGTCCTCCAGCAGCCTCTGGAAGGGCTGAGCGTTGGAGGGGAACACGGCCGTGGGACCAAGCTTCTTGGTGTCCGAGAAACAGCCCAGCAGTCTGGTGACAAGGAAGCAGTTAACATCAAGAAAGTCTGTTTCTTTTGAGGTTTGTTTTTCAAAATAAAACCACAATTAAAGAAACCACATAATACTACCATCAGAAAGAATACAAAGGATTCGCCGTCTAAATTCTGTCTTTCTTTGAACTGAAATACAAAACACATCAAATAGGAAGCACCACAGTCATTTCAGCGGTTCTTCATACATTATCCTGCTTCCACATTTACATATTCTGTAACTCCATTATTATTCCACTACATCTTATTTGTAAACTATTTGTGTACTAGGTTTTTTCCTGGGCTTTCAGTCATATCTTAGTCGCCAGGGAGACGGTTCAGTCGTTACTGTTTGAAGTAAGAAACTTTAGATACTACACAAACTCCATCTGCTGATGAAGGCCTTAAGATGTGACTGAAAGCTGCAGAAGAAATCCAGTAAGTGGACCTTCAGTTGAGTTTTTCCACGATTAAAAAAACGTTCCTTCAAGGTCACATAGTTCCCAATGTAGGTTCTGCAAATGTTTTTACGAGGAAGGAAATGCATCAGTCCTCAATGTAAACATGCACCAGAGGTAGTGTGAACGTTTTCATTAATAATTCATCTCTCCATCCAGAAAACGAAGGACAAAACCAAAATCCTTCCACATGAAAAGCAAATATGGCGATTCGCAGGGGGGGGCGGGCCAGATTTGCGGAGGATTAAGAAACACAGATGTTCCTTGAGCTCGTGATTAACAGAAGCGGGAACGGGCCTCACCTCACAGCGTCCGCCAGCTTCTCGAACTGGATCTCTGTGCGGAAGAAGTGCGAGTTGGCGGGCTCGTAGCGCATGGCGGCGGTGAGCGTGCAGAACACCGTGTGCAGGAGCTCGAACACCTGGTTCTGGTTGACGCGCTCCCAGCCGTGGCGCGGCGGCTGGCACAGCGAGCGCTCCATGGCCACCAGCAGGGAGGTGACGTAGACGAAGCCGCCCACCTTGCGGAACACCGTCCGGGTGCGGTGACTCTCGCGCAACACTGCCAGCAAAGCCTGGAAGGAAGGAAAGGAGAGAGGACAGAAACATCATTTCATTTTCCTGACGTTTCCACATTTAATCTTCTTCATTTCAGAAAAATAATGAGCTCTTTACAAAGAAACAAAACACATTTAGTGGCGGGAAATTACTTATTTTTTTTATATCTCCCCCAAAGGTGCATCAGCTGTCGCATCATTTATTCTGAAGATGTCACACATGCTGTTTCACTTCCGCTGCATCATTTTAACTCACTTTATTTCACGTACTTTTTGTCACTCAATTATTCTTTCCAGTGTTGAGTTTTCATGTCATTCGTTGTTTTGGTTTTTTTTCCACCTCATTCAGTCATGTCTCCATTCATCAACTCATTTCCTTCTCCTTCTTCTTTGCGGTGAGGCATATTTATGAGTCCCTGGGGTTTCTTTGGCTCACCGCACCGACTGGATTTTTTTTTTTCCCTCCTACATTTTTCTACAAGTTTTATGTTTCGCATTCGCAAGTAACCTAAACCGAAAACATCAAACTCTAACCTAGATATGGGTTTGGGGACCTAAAAACAGCCTGAGAGCAGAGGATGACGGTGACAGGGGCAGGATTTTAATTAGCAACTGAAAAGCGGAGACAACGTCGGGGCTCGGCGACAGATGAAGCTTCTGAATGACACAGGTGAAGTGAAGTGAAGTGAAGTGAAGCGAAGCGTCGGCACACGTCAGTGAGAGCAGAGCTTGGTATCACCGGAGACTCCTTCATTACCATCGTGCCACCAACACAGTGGCTGGGAACGTTTTCACCTTGTGTTTGTGTGTCTGTGTCATCACTGCAAAATGTGCCCCTGCTTTAAGGACAGGTGTTTATTTGATCTGTTTGACTGTGAACAGACACTTTCCAGGTGTGTAGCTGAGATCAAAGTGAAGGTTGAACTGGGAGACGGGTGCGTTCCGACTCCTGACGACTGAATGCTCCGAAGTTGTTGGGATTATAGGACAAAAACATAAACTAATAAACGTTATTATTTCTGAACATGTGCGTAAGACACCTGTTTGTTCCAGAGAACTAACATGAGAGAATATAACAAGAACACTGGTACGCTCAGTAGCAGTGCTAATGCTACTTACAGCGCATCATTGACTATTATATCATCATTAACTCCATATCCCACAAATAAAAAAGCAGTAGAATTAAAGCAATATCTCATTTACACAGTGTAATTCACCACAGTCTTAACTCATCCAAAACAATTTTGCAGTGGCAGCGGAAATTAAATAAAACTTCATTCAGGAAAAATGAGAAACTATTTTATTTAATTTTATTCTTTTATATAATTTAGGCGAAAACACAATTTAAGATGCCAGTTTGAGACGCTATAAGATACTGTAAAATGACATAATGTGCGAGTCTGCTCAGATTCTGCCGTTACACTTGTATTGTGCTGGAAGTCAACGAGCAGAAATCCTTTTATTTTTGTGAGATTTGTGATGATTCCTCAGGTATTTGATTCACCTGAAGAGTGAAACAGAGACCTGCCAGGACTCAAAACTTTAGATTTAGATTATTTTATTAACAACAAAAAAATTAACTTCCACACTCAGGATTCTCATCTAATCATGCATAAAACTGATGGTTTTATCGACAACAAGATTTTAACCCACTTCTGCAAGTGAAGAGAAGTAAAAACAGTGATTCGTTGCACCACTGATGCAGCTGTTTCCTGCTGCATTACAATACTGTCAGACTCAGCACAGCATTTTCTTTTTGTTTTTTAAACCAATCACAGGATGTCTCCAACTTCCTGTCCTCCAAGCTGGGAAATTACCCCCCCCCCGAGAGATTACAGGGTTAAATGTTCACTTTCACAAAGCTAATCAGCTTAATATTGAGATCTATTTGTGTTACTGTCAGTGGTGCATAAACTCCAATGAAGAGCCAGGAAAAAACGATTTTAATGTTGAACTGTATTTTATACAAGGTCTTTGCAGTCTGCTTTTTTTTTTTTTTTTTTGAGGGTTATAATTAAAATCCCTGATTAGTGAAATAGGAGCAAAATGCTGACGGGTTAATCCAGCCGGAGCCTTCAGAAGGCGTGAGAATTACCTCGTCTGATGGAGAGGAATTTCAAAATGCAATTATGTTTCAGAAAACGAGCCGCCATCCTCTCATCCTCTCTCTCTGTGTGTGTGTGTGTGTGTGTGTGTGTGTGTGTGTGTGTGTGCATATGCCTTTATGTGCACCCAACGCTCAGTAACCCTGGTCTGAAGCAATTACCATATGCAGGGCTTCAAATGTATATTGATTTTGAAATTGCAGACTTTCTTTTCCTCACTAGAACTGAAGGTTTGCGTTGGTGCCGACGGCCTCTCGCCAAGAGCTTCTCTTAACTCACACGTACGAGGGTTATTTTGTACAAAACAAAAAGCAGTGACGAGAGTATGTTGGAAAATGTGCAGCTGTATGTTTATAAAAACTTTGCCTTTAAGATACGATGAGAATAAAACAGTAAAAATACATATATTTAAAAATGAAAAGTAATACTAAAAACTTTAAAGTATTAAATCTCCTGCCAGCAAACAACACACTGAGATAAAGACAATGAACAGAAAACACTGAAATAATCCTCTTTACGTGTAAGGAAGAGACCGTCTCTGTGTGTGTGTGTGTGTGTGTGTGTGTGTGTGTGTGTGTGTTGTTACCCTCAATATGTCCGTCTTCAGCTGCAGTTCACTGGACGGCGCAGAGTGCATGAGGCCCAGCAGCGTCCCCATGTCGTCGTCACCGCTTGGCGACAGTACGAGCTGCTGGATGATGAGCAGGGCGTGTTCCCGACACTGACGGTACTTCACGATGTTGTGGACGCAGCGGGCGCCGCCGAACTCCCGGAAAAGGGCTTCGAGGTGGAGAGAGAGAGGGAGAGAGGGAGAAATGTCATCTCAAAGTTTTGGACTGAGCATTTGTGACAGTGTGTGTCAGAAAGCGTTTTAGATTTAAATGTTGAATGGTTTATTCTCCACAGCACAGCTAAACACACGACATCCATCAATCTCATCCCGGTCGCTCTGATTGTTCAGTGTATTTATCTTGGCCTGAAACCGATCACCAGTTTCATTACGATTCCTTCTTGGAACGGATGTGAGGAAGTCCACAACACGAACATCATTAGACAGAAAAGCAGCAAATTAAAACCAGTTTGTTCAAGTCATTTATCAAGATAAAATAACAATTGATCAAAAATCAGTTATTTGACCAATAGTTTCACACATATATTTAGTCATTTATTATCAAATCATACCCAGTATAAACAGTGTAGAAGTCTATTTATGTTTTGATATGTTGGTTGTTTTTGGTGTATCTCTGGTTCTCTAGTGAAACATAAATCCAAGCTGACGGCAGCTGCAAACCTTTTCAGAGCCACGTCTCGAACCTACAGACGGTTCGTGTTTAATCTCTAAAGGTCGGATTCTTACAGAGGAGCGGTGTGACTTTAAGATGAAATACTGCCGCTCCACTGTTTCAGTCCCGAGGTCAGACTGAAGAAACCTTTCACTGTCAGGAATACTCTTCAAGTTCACCCTCTGTATAGAGTTACTGTCCCATAATGTTGTTGGTTTTGATTCTTAATATCCTGTTACTACTTATTGTGAACTGTTGAAAACGATGATGAGGTTCTGGTTTGATTTTCGCCTGCGCTCCTCCGTCAGCCGTTGCGTGGCGCTCTGGTGGGCGGATGCTTCTTTTAGACCGTTCTTGTGATTTTGGTGACGCACTGAATCTTTTTATTTTATCTTTTTCTACTCGTTGGCGCTCGTTTCAAGTCTCTTCAGATAAGAGACGGACGATCGACGTGCCGGGAGTGGAGAGCTACAAATATCACACACATCAGCATGAGAGAGAGAGAGAGAGAGAGAGAGAGAGAGAGAGAGAGAGATGAAGAGAGAGAAGGAGATGACCGAGGAGACGAAGAGGAGAGAGAGAAAGAAGAGAGAGGGATGAGAGAGAGGGAGAGAGAGAGAGAGGAGAGATGAGAGAGAGAGGGAGCAGAGACCCACCGAGAGGAGAGAAGAGGGAGAGAGAAAAAGAGAGCAGAGAGATGGAAGAGACGATGAGAGAGAGAGAAGAGTCATCCCATGCAAGGATCGAGGAGAGCTGTGAGCCGTAACAGTGTGCCCAGCCTGTTGGACGTCTCTTGATGCCCACTCATTCATCATCCCATCACACACCACAGGCACACACACACACACACACACACACACACACACACACACACACACACACACACACACACACACACAGACAGAGGGTGGGACTGGGTGATGTGATGGGATGGGATGAGGGAGGTTTAAGCAAATGTAATAAGATGCTTTATTGATCCCCGGAGGAAAAGTCTCTTTCCTCTCCAGCTGGACGGAGAGGTCAGAGGTCAAGAACCAGCAGCCGTGGTGACGGTGGAGATTCAGTGTTTTTGCTCAAGGACACAAATCAGCACAAATCTTTTTTTTTTTTTTTTGGGGCTGAATTAAATCACCACATTGAGTGATTTCACCCTTTTTAGCGTCATCAGCATTCAAGGTCAAACAAATAATTAAACCATGAAAGTTTACATGTCATCAGTTGTTATAAAGGAACTGGTAACGCCGGTCTGTCACTGATCCTGATCCCGCCCAACATCCTGCACAGCCCGAAACAAGTCACCTGCAGCAGTATGTCCAACGAGTTACAGGGTGTGTGTGTGTGTGTGTGTGTGTGTGTGTGTGTTTACCTGCATTGGTGTTGGTGGTGTTGGAGCCATGCAGGAGCACAGTGAGGGTCTCCATCACCAGCCAGGCCAGCTGCTTCTGCTCCTCTGCCACTGTGTTGTTTTTACAGTCGGCTGCAGACGGAGAGGAAACACAGGGAAGAGTCATGATTTCATTACAGACACACAGTAAGTGTATCATACTAACTATGTAATAAAAAAAAAACTCAATAACACAATGAGAAAACTGAATTTAATCTTCTGACACCTGCATTTCAGGTCAGACGAGTAGTTCTGCTTTTCTTTAAGTCTTGGATTTTATATTGTACGGACTTCTGTCGTGCGCTCAGTCGTCACAGGATGCTGCGGATTCGACATCTTCTTGTGTATTTACCGATCTATAAGATTAACTTATTGGTGATTGCTCTGTTTTACCTTAAGTACCAGCTGTTTACATGATTCCAATCTGAGAATATAATGATCCTTAAAGAGTAACTTAACACCAGCTGAACAAAACCTTCATTAGAACTTCTGACCTCCCTGCAGCGATGCGGAGCGCAGTCCAGGAAGTGTCAGTGTATTTACCGCGACATGACACTGTTGGATTCAGGTGCAACACACCCGCTGTTCAGTTTTTCTTTCAGCTTTCATTACCGATCGCTGATCTGGAAGAATTCACAACATTAAATTCACATCTCGTGTTCGGTCATTTGCCTAAATTCCTTCAGGACCGTTTTTTACGAGTGATTCCGCTTCCTGGTCCGACTGTGGTGCGGTTCGAGAGACGCTGTTACGAATACGATGGAGGAGGTGTGATCAGCTCTGCAGACGTCACAGCTCATTTTCAGTAATCGCAAATATACAGGGGAAAAAAAAAAGAGAAGCTCCTCACCTTGGTCGTTGTTGTGTGGTTGCTGTTGCGTGGCCGGGTCTTTGAGCAAGGCGGCGTACTTGTGCAGCAGGTTGACCAGCACCTCCAGCAGGCCGACCTCCCTCAGCACGTCGCTGAACACCGGGTCGTGCCTGGCCAGCTTCAGCAGCGTCCGGACGGCGGTGATGCTGCAGGCGTGCGACGTGCTCGACTTGAGCAGCACGCTGACGCTGAACAGCTCCTTGCACGGCACGTAGTTGAGACTGAAGACCACGAACTCCAGCAGCTCGAAGTACTTGGCCTGGGCCTCGGGCAGCTTGGCCACACGGTCCGCAAACTGCGACAGGGTGTGCTGCGACTCCAGGATGAAGTAGTTGGCCGGCTCCGCTGCGTAGATGTTTCCGATGGCGTCCAGCAGCATGCACGCCAGGCGGCTTGTTTTAGCCCGCAGGAAGGCGTTCTGGAGCACCGCGAAGGCCTGGATGTTACGCACCGTGTGGCCTGGAAGAAAAGAGATGACATGGTTATAACAAAACAAACGACTGATGAATGACTCATCAAAATGTTACGATAAGTGCGGATAATGTCTATGTATGTTACATCTATATCATGGTCATTTTATTGGCAGGTCATCAAACTGTAGGTAACCATAGCAACAATACGCAATACGTGATCGCAGCATCCCTACTACCCATTGTTTAAAATGTGCAGAATAATTCACGGTCTTGTTGTTACTCCATTACTGGTTTTATTTGTCTTTCGTTGGTCGTTACTAAAAATGAAAATCACATCACTCCGCACAAGGGAACTTTAGTTTTTATCCACCAAAAAATTTACTTTTTGACCGGGTTTTTTAACCCTATCCTGAAATCTGTCGTTCTAACTGCTAATTTACATGTGATTTTCACACAGTCCACGACACTGGTAATGACCAGCTCCTTCATCATGATCCCCTCCGTCTCTGTCACTCATGTCTTTGACTGTATAAAGATAAACGTCGACAGTCTCCAGTTGAATCAGTAATAAAACATCAAGGGAGAAAAACCCTGATTTGACGTCAATCAAATAAATGTGTTTGACTCAGAGACTCACACACACACACACAGACACACACACACACACACACACACACACACACCCACACACACAGACACACACACACGGAGGAACAGTGACAATGAAATGTGTCGTCACACATACAGCCGTTAAGTGGACGTGGCAGGCTAATTAGGCGTGTAAGCCGACCCTCGCACCATGATGGCTTCTGGTAATGACTCTGCACACAGCTGGAGCTGACATTAGGTGTGTGTGTGTGTGTGTGTGTGTGTGTGTGTGTGTGTGTGTGTGTGTGTGTGTGCGGTCTAACAGGCGGTAGAGCTCGGTGAGGAGGTTCGTTAGCTGACTGATTTCTGTGTTTGCGTCTGTGCGTGCTGTTGACAGGGAGAAGGGAAGGCGGTGTTTTCTGCAGGGGTGGAGGTGACGAGGTTGTAACACGGCACAGCCACTAGACGTGTTACAATCTGTCACACAGAGACATTTCATCATGCGTGTCCTCTCCTAAAGCCCGAAGAGTGAACACAATGAAACAACATCGAACGTAATATTTCAAATCACTCGGGGTTAAAATAAATTAGCAAGTAAATAAATAAGTAGGAAATAAAGGCACAAAATTAAAAAAAAATGGATAAATGAGTAAATGAATGAAAATGAATGGTGGAATATTTAGAGTATATAAAAAATAATTAATTAATATAATCATAAAACTTTATTGTGTGCTTTCTAATGCATCATGACAACACCCACAAAACATTATAGAGATAATAATAAGTACAAACATCTTATGAGCTTTTCTGCTTCACTAAGCAGTATGATCACAGTGCACCAGCAGTTTCTATAATAAGAAAAGCTCGTAATGCACCCTAATTAAAAGATGTTTGTATTTTACAGTCATGCAAAGATGTTTATTTACCAACAGGAAACAGATTTAGTGCTAAAGTAAGAAAGTACCATTTTTAAAACTAGAATCTTTTAAACATGTTTGATATTAGAAGCAGAACTGATTCTTCTCCCAGTTTGAAGCCGTTTTATTCACTTTTATCTTCGCTAATGAGTTTTCTCTCTTCGCTCTTTGTTGTGGGAGTATTTGCTTTTTCCATGTGTGTTCTGTAAACTTTTTAGTGGGTACCGTTTTGAGCGGGAGCAAACACGCAGGCCCCGAGACGATTCTCCGAACCGCTAAAGCATCTCTGGACTCCAAAGAGCCCATTTGTATGCGGGAGGCTTCAGGCATTCGTCTCCAGCAGCGTGACAGGCGGCGGAGTTGCCATGGTGTCTGTCAACAGGTTAAGCTTTCTGGGATCAGCCAAGCATCAAAGTCATTGCAAGGATTAAGATGTGACGGCGAGATCCGGCGGCTGGAGACTTTTCCACGTGTAATTCCTCTCTTGTTTCAGGGCTTTGGGCGAATGGAGCCGGTGGTGGTCTAAAGACTTAAGACGCAGGCCTGTGATCAGGAATCACCGGTTCGTATCGCGGATAGGAGGGAGGGAACATCTTTACTCCATCAACATTTAACGTCAACGTGTCCTCGATTCCTTCTTTGCATGGGGAGTTTAGCAGAGAGCTGCATTGTTTCCAAAGTTCTGTGCGCTGCTCTTCCCTTTGGGTGTTTGTTCACCCGTTAAATCTTACAACAAAAAGACACCACCTCTATTTGACAGATTTATCACCTCATGTCTCCTCATTCACCCTGCTGTGATATATCTGCATTATTTAGCATAAACAGAAAAGGACAGCTACAGTTTTATTTTATTTATTTATTTGTTTATTTTTAAATCTGAAAGGCAAATCGGAAGGTCAGTGGTTTGATTCTCGGCTGCTCCAGTCCACATGTCCTCGGGCAAAATACTCCAACAAACAAACTGTGACGTCAGTGTGTGTGTGTGTGTGTGTGTGTGTGTGTGTGTGTGTGTGTGTGTGTGTGTGTGCGTTTGCATATGGTAGAAAACCATGCTGTGAATGTGTGCGTGAACGGGTGAATGTGGCTCGTAGCGTGAAGCGCTCCGATTGGTCGGTGAGACTAGAAAAGTGCGCTATAAGTGCAGTGCATTTAAAGTTCGTCCTGACTTCCTCCAGCTGGATATGAATCTTTAAAAACAAATATACCACCAATATAGACTTCTGTTTACAAAAAACTCAAACAGGAAGTAAATTTTGTCATGGAATATTTTCAGCCAAACATTTAGAGTGTCAGTGAGTCTTTGCAGCTGCAGGTTGTTGTATGTGGGGTTGATTTAAAAATAAGTTAAAGTGTTTGTGTTCCCCAGAAAGAGGAAACACGACACTCAGAGCGACGGTGTGGCTCGTTGATGAGGAATAAGATTGTGTTTTACTTTCTGCATCCACCACTTTGCTACAAGGACACCGACTGCGCATGAGCTGGAAAACAAACATGGACGGTCTACAGCTCGTCTTTAACAAAGCAGAGATCAGTTGGTGTTGCAATAATAGAAATATGGCATAACAGGAAACCTTATCCCGTAAATTAATAATCAGGTGTAATGAAATAAGTCTCAGTTTAAAACCGTGTTAGCAGCCATTAAAAAAAAAAAACAAATTCAGCATTAACGCACCTTTCCCAGAAGGCTGCGGGAGAACGAAGCCAGGCAGCAGGAAGGGGGCGCCGGTCGTCAGGCCGGCAGGTTTCAGCTCCGTCACCCCGTATGTGGTCAGACAGGTGACCAGGTTGACCAGGTCCTTCAGCGCATCCTTCGATTCGTCCTCCTTGGCCTGTTCCAGTCTGGATACAGAGACAGATGCTTGTGTGAATGTACATATAAAACTACGTGAGCTGCGAGCTGGGGGTGAAGAGCGCCGCCGTACCTGAGCATGAGGTCGCAGAGGAAGGCGTAACCCTGGCACATTCGGAAGTCGTCCAGCAGCGTCTGCGACACGTCGCTGGAGTCTTTGAGGAAGCAGGAGAGGCCGGCGAACATCTCGACTATCTCCAGTGGGGAGAGATCATCCGACTGCTGCATGTTCTGAACACATGTGGCCAGGCACTCCTTCTCTGTGGATGGAGGAGGCGGCGGGAGACGGGGGTTAGAGGTAAAGAAAGAGACGACTTGATGTGACAAATGATTAGAAATAAGCTGAAAGGAACTCGTTACTATTAAAGGAAGAAACAGCAACTCAACTGCATGATGAAAGCTGGAGAATCACGTTTTACGTTATCATTTGAAAACCCTGTTTCATGCTCTAGGTTTTCTATCATCATGGTTTTAGTTGAAGAAAAAGAATCAGCATTGGGTGGAAAAGTTTCCATTCTCCTTCGTACACGTTTGCTCCTCTCTCTATCAGCGCTGCAGGTGGAGCAGCAGCTGCACCTCCTTCAAGTTTGCAGTAGACACAGGATCTTAATGACACACCGCAAAAGCTTGTCTGTCTTGTGTCAGCGCGTCTTTCTCTACCGCCTGCTCTCGTCTCTAAAACTAATGCACAATAAGCTGCAAGAAGATTTTACGAGCTGCTTATCTGGAGTTAAACAAACATTTAACACGTCCACGGCAAAGTGTTTGGCGATAGTGATGAATTCTGCTCGTGTTAAACATTTAAACATGAAAGGAAACTTTATTTAATTTAAATAACTGAACTGATGAACTCATTAAAAGCTCTGCTTCAAAGTAAAAGTACTTTATAGAAACGGAGCGGCGTCAAAAGTAAGATATTCGTAAAAAGTCATGGGAGGTTTTTTTTTTTTTGCATGCAATTCCTATAGATTGAAGTTTAAAGCTCCTGTATTTGGATGTCTGGATCTTGGGCGGGCGAATGAACACGACTGATCCTAGTGCGACCACAATGAAACCATCCGGCCAACACATCCTGCGCATCTGTATTTACCATGTATGTATTTGACCACGTTGACGCTGAGGCCGTGTCGGGAGATGGTGGTGAGCACCTCCCCGGCGCTCCTCCTCCAGGGCAGGTTGTGGGGGGGGCACCAGGAGGTGATGGCACTGAACAGGAGCTGCAGGTCGTCCTTTTGAGCCAGCTCCTCCGCCGGAGACACGAAGGTGCACAGCTTCACCAGGATCTGCAAAGAGTGGAGA